TCCATGCAGTCTCCGACGGGCTCGCCCCGACAGCGAAGAGAAGGAACGCAAGACCGCGAGCGGAAGGACTTTCAAGGTTCAGGGAAGCTAAGTACTGCGAGCTGTTTGTGGTTTACAGTAATTGACAGGGGTGGTGGTGTTGCCTTTCAGCGGAGCGTCGTCAGTTCCAGGCAGGTGACTACGCCGTTTATCGTGGAGACGTTGGAAATGTTATGAGAAATTACAATTCAGAGATGACGAGAAGCCACAATCGGCGAAATTCCCTTGCCTATCAACACCTTCTCAGGGCCTGGAGCTTAAAATCTCATCCAAGGCTTTGACGAAAGTGTCAATCTCATCCACTAGTCGATTGTTAGCTCGCGAAAGATATAGGCGGGCAGGTTTCGATGCGCACATACCGGTGTTGTAATGGACCATGCTAACTCTGACCACTCCGTCGGAGCTAGGCAAGCCAAGAAATTCCTGGACCAAGCGGACAGAGTAGAAGTTCCCCCACCTAAAGCCAAAGTTTGTCACCTTTTCAAGCGCCTCGACAAGATCACGAGATGACCACCCCTTCACTGTAAAGGCTATGGTGGGCACGCGGACAGCACTGTCGGCGGTCTTCTCTCCATACACAGTTACATCGCCGTCAGTGCGGCCGTTGAGGTAGCGTAGCAGCGTCTCGGACAGCCTGGCCTCGTGGGCCTCGATAGCCGCCGTAGACTGGCCATCAAGGTAGGAGACGACGGCCGGGATCGCCGCCACGAGCTCGTAGCTCGCGCCCGCCAGCCCCAGCTTGTCTTCCAGTGTATCGTGGCTGTTGAAGTAATGGCCCAGCGACCGCAGCTGCGCCTTTGCCCTGCCCGAGGCGTAGAGCATCGAGATGTGCGGGCCGTAGACCTTGTACCACGAGAAGGCGTACAGGTCGACGCCGAGGTCCCCGACATCGACGCGGCGGTGGGGCGCGTACGCCACGGCGTCGACGCAGACGAGCGCGGCCGGGCACCGCGCACGCACCGCGGCCGAGATTGCCCTCACATCGTGGATGGTGCCCAGGATGTTGCTCGCGTGCGTCAGCGTCACCAGCCTGGTCCTGTCGGATAGCAGCGGGCCCAGGCCCTCGGCGTCGAGGCGCGGCGAGGTCCCCGCGGGCGGCGACCACCACTTCAGCAGGAGGCCCTGCCGCTCCGCGAGGGCGACCCAGGGCGCAATGTTGGCCTCGTGGTCGAGCTTCGAGACGACGATCTCGTCGCCCTCGCCGAAGTGGAGCGCGTACGACACGTTGCGGAAGAGCTGGGTGGTCGAGGAGCCGAGCACTGGGTGTCCAGGGTAAGGAGATTGGGTCAACTCTAGCCGGAACTTGTACCAAATGCTTGCTCGCCATCAAGATGAGCCCGACCAAAGCTGACAGATCTGAACGGCGTACCTATGTCGTCGGCAGACGCATTGATGTACTTGGCTGCCGCCTTGTATCCTTCGTCATACTTGGTTGTTGATTTCACGCCTGTGGCATACGATGCCCCTAATTGGACGTTTGTATTGGTGAGATAATCACGAATTCTGAGACAGATGTCAGTGAGTGAAGAGCACAGCAGCCCGAGCACCGTATCCATACTATCAAGTCACAGCCCGTCACGTACGAATCAATAACAGTCCCTAGGGTCTGGCTGCCACCAGCATTGTCGAAGAAGACTTGTTCTCCTGCCAGGGCCGGGAAACTACCCCGCACTTTGGCTATATCAAGTTGCGTTCCGGCGACCATTGTGATGCAGCTGTTGGCTCTTGCCCGCCTTGTGGGATAGCTCGGAGAGTAATCGTGGGTTAGGAACCAGCTCAAGTTTAACACGGACAGATGTGAGGAGCGGCACGGTTAGCTCTATGAGGGTTGACACAATGATCTATGGGAGAACCACCTCTACATAGAATTACTAATGAGGTAGCGGGTGTGATGTTCGTCCAATTGATAGATGCAAGTCCGCTCCGCATCTGCCCCCGGTGTCATCGGCCCCGCTCCTCCCCGCTCCCGTCCCAGCTGGGAACAGGTTCGGCTGACTGCAGAATGGGCAGGTCTGGGTGTCTCATGGGCACTGCACGGATGGACTCCAACCCCGCCTTGGGTTTATGGCAAACCCAGACATTGATAACTAGGCGTGTTGCACAAAGCTAGCTAGACACAAGCGCATATGGATTCAAAACATGTTTATCTCAAACAAGGAGGACTTTGACAACCGCGAGGGAAATAAAAGTGGAAGAAAGGAGATGAGCCCAAGGTTGCAAGATGCAAGATGCCTAGATTGGCTACCCTACTCGTCGAGTTTGGCGCCTACAAGACTGGCCCTCAAAGTCATGATAGTATGGGAAAATCACCCGTTGGCTCTCGCTCGTTGCGCCGAGGATCAAAGGATGAGAAATTAGGCTTTCAAGCATGAAGCAGGCTGTCAGATGGAGAGATGTATTTTCTCCGACACTGGTTCCGGCGCTTGTTTGCTCATGCGCGACATCAGCGATGGCCTGCGGCATGAAATCGAGGACTAGGCGCGCAATGCCGCTGTGCCAATGGGGTGCCGCCATGCGCTCTGCTTGGTGTGCCGCCAGCTCGCCGAATCCTTGTCCTTGGGCGCAGTCTCGACCCATCATGGGCAGCCGCGCGCGACCTTGGTGCCTTTTGGATGCCGCACCTTGATGATGCAGGCGGTGCCCTGTCGCCCGAGGAGGATTATCGCTGCCCACTCCTGATTGGGCCGTATTGTCGCCGAGTGGTCTGATATGCGCCTGCTTGGTTTCTGTCAACTTTTCCTTCTACACTTTGAAGTGGGGGAGAAAAGTGACGCGATTTCAATCGACTTTTTTTTTATCGGCCCATCTTTGGATCTGTTGTGGGGAAAACCCTTGCCCATATAAAAAGTCCGCCCGCCTCACAACCAACGACGACCGGATCTTGCGCATCGGCCTGCAACAGCTCCCAGCCACATACAGAAAAAACACAATTGGAAAGCCAAGATGAAGAGAAAAGCCGAGACGCAAGGGCGCGCCAAAAAGCCCCTGAAGAAGAAGACCAAGATAGGTTGGTGCTAGCCTCGATACGATGACCGCCGCGACGAAAAGGCCGGCCCCAGTGGATCGCGACTGACGCCGCCAAACCATGCTCTTCGTGTAGAGCTCACCGAAGACGAGGCCAAGCAGCGGTTCCGCAAAGGACTTTTCGAGAAGAGCGTCAGGGACAAGTACGCCAGCCAGTACCGAACCTCGACGCCATACAAGCACAGCGTGATCCACGAGCTCGTCGACGACAAGCTGCTGCGCTCCGTGCGCGCCGAGATCCGCGACAATGTCTCCTTCACCCCCAAGGAGACCGACATCTACAAGATCCACCAGTCGGGCGACCTCGCCAACCTGGACGGCCTCGACGACTCCGCCCTGGCCAAGCTGCCGTCGCTGCTGGCCCTCCGCGACGCCATCTACTCGGACACGTTCCGCGCATACGTCTCCCACGTCACCGGCTGCGGCGCCCTGAGCGGCCGCAAGACCGACATGGCCATCAACGTCTACACCCCGGGCTGCTACCTACTGTGCCACGACGACGTCATCGGCAGCCGCCGCGTCAGCTACATCCTGTACCTGACCGACCCGGACATGCCCTGGAAGCCCGAGTGGGGCGGCGCCCTGCGCCTGTTCCCCGTCACGGAGCGCAAGGGGGAGGGCGGCGCCGTCGCCAAGACGGTCGAGCCCGACGTCGTCAAGGTCATCCCGCCGGCCTGGAACCAGCTCAGCTTCTTCGCCGTCCAGCCGGGCGAGAGCTTCCACGACGTCGAGGAGGTCTACCGCCCGGACACCAAGGAGGAGCTCGCGAGCCAGGGCGGCCGCGTGCGCATGGCCATCAGCGGCTGGTTCCACATCCCGCAGGTCGGCGAGGAGGGCTACGTCAAGGGCGCCGAGGAGGCCCAGGTCAAGAACAGCGGGCTGATGCAGCTGCAGGGCGACCCGGACCAGCACGACCTGCCCCGCGACGAGCCCGTGCCTGTCGGGGAGGGCGACTCGCAGGACCTGCTCGAGTTCGACGAGGCCGACCTCGAGTTCCTGCTCAAGTACCTGGCCCCGACCTACCTCACCCCGGACACGCTGGAGCAGGTCTCGGAGCACTTTGAAGAAAACTCCTTCGTCACGCTCACGGACCTGCTGCACCCAAAGTTCGCGGCCAGGCTGCGCGAATACGTCACCAAGCAGGAGGCGGCGGCCAAGGCGGGCCTTCTGCCGTCCGGCGCGGCCGACATCGAGGCCAAGACCGCCTGGAAGGTGGCCCGCCCGCCGCACAAGCACCGCTTCCTCTACATGCAGTCGGGCGTGGCGAAGAGGGGCGAGGAGGAGTCGCCGCTGCGGGAGCTGCTGGACACGCTCCTGCCCAGCAGGCAGTTCCGCGCCTGGCTACAGATGGCGACGGGGTGCAACATCAAGTCGCACGCCGCGCTCGCGCGCCGGTTCCGGAGGGGCGAGGACTACACCCTCGCCATGGGCCACGAAGGGGACGCTCGTCTGGAGCTGAACCTCGGCCTGACCCCAACGTCTGGCTGGGGCGATGACGAAGACGAGGAGGATGATGAGGAGGAAGAGGCCGAGGAGGAGGCCGCTAGTAGTAGCAAGACCTCAAAGGCAAACGGCAAGTCGCCCAAAGACAAGGGTAAAGGGAAGGAGAAGGCCAGGAGCAAAGCTACCGAAAAGGCCAAGGCAAAGGAGAGGGAAAAGAAGAAGGAAGAGCCTAAGGAGGAGGAGGAGGAGGAGGACGTGGGCGGGCACGAGGTGTACATGGCGGGCGAGGACGACAACGACGAGGACGCGGCCGTGTACAAGTCCGGGACGCCCGACGAGGACAACATCCTCTTCTTCCAGGCGGCCGCGTGGAACAAGATGACCATCGTGCTGCGCGACAGCGGCACGCTGCGCTTCGTCAAGTACGTGAGCAGGAGCGCCAAGGGCGACCGGTGGGACATATCGGCCAACTTTGACATTGAGGAGCAGGACGACGGCGATGACGACGGTGATGAGGAGGGGGAGGGCGAGCGTGCTGCGGTCGGCGTCGTGGACGACTCCTCGGAAGAGGAGTTCAAGGGCTTCTCGCCCAGCGAGGATAGTGATTCGGACTAGGTGGCCGAGTTGGGATATGATGCTGCCGTTGGGGTTATAATGTGAAATACGACTGTTATGCCGATTTTAGCGCTCCTTGCAGTTGTCGGATTATTCCCGCTTAGAGTCCTACTCATGACGACCACCGTGAGAAATTTGGGCCCCTTGCCCCGGAAATATTTTATTTTACTGTTACTGTGTCTGAATACCATCGACCACGTTCTGTCCCGACACCTATAAATCCACAAGTATCGACACTTGCTCACTTGCGCATCCACTGCAAGACACATCAAGATATTAGTCAGGAGTCGGGCATCAACTCAACACCACGCCAATTATTCAAAGCCAGTCACAAATGCAAATCGCACTTTGAAACAATCAAGTCCCAAAACAACAAATAACACCCCAAAAAATGCTCCCAACCCCATCAACCTCGCACGTCGACTACGGACGCATCTACGAGCCGGCCGAGGACTCCTTCCTGTTCCTCGACACGCTCGCGTCCCCTACCGAGTCGGCTTTTCTCACCTCCCGATTCGGCGGCGACGACGAGGACGCGCCGGCGCCGCTCGTGGTCGAGATCGGCACTGGCTCGGGCGTCGTCATCGCCTTCGTGGCGGCGCAGGCGCGGCGCATCCTGGGCACGCGGTGCGCGCTGACGGCGGGCGTCGACGCAAACGCCTTTGCGTGCGCCGCCACTGCCGAGACGGTGCGGCTGGCCACCACCACTGAAGCAGCGGCCGGCGCCGGAGGAGGAGGAGGAGGAGGAGGAGGAGGAGGAGGAGGAGGAGCGACCGCGGGGCTATACCTGGGCTCGACGCGCGCGGACCTGGCGTCGGCGCTGCGCCCGGGGTGCGTCGACGTGCTGCTGTTCAACCCGCCGTATGTGCCGACGCCCGACGCGCCGCCGCGGCCTGGCGGGGAGGAGGAGGAGGAGGAGGGGAAGGGGGAGGGGGAAGGTGGGGGTGGTGGTGGTGACTTGTTCGCGCGCGACTCGTACCTGCTCGAGCTGTCGTACGCGGGCGGCAGGGACGGCATGGAGACGACGGACCGGCTGCTGGGCGAGCTGCCGGCGCTGCTGTCGCCGCGGGGCTGCGCGTACGTGCTGCTGTGCCGGCAGAACAGGCCCGACGAGGTGGCGGCCCGGGTGCGGGGCTTCGGGCCCGAGTGGCGCGTCGTCAAGGCCGGGGACAGCGGGAGGCAGGCCGGCTGGGAGAAGCTGCAGATCATCAGGATATGGAGGGAGTGGGAGGGGCGGGGGGAGGGCGACGGTCGGTAGAGGTACGGGCTGTGGGGGATGTCGTGGACCGAGAAAAAAAAGAGACATTGATACCATGCCCAGGCAGTCCTGATAAACTCAGTATCATGGGCTAATCATAATTCTATTTTAGTTGGTGGTATTTTCGTGTACGCTCAGATCGTTGTCAAAATATCAACCCAAACCTAGCGCCTCAACCTCTGATGCTTTCCTTCCAATTCTCTATCACCATCCCGTATCATTATTCTAGTACGCAAACTATCCGGATAGATAAACCGGCGATTAGCGTCAGGAGCCCTACCTACCTAAACAGCATACGGGCAGAAGCAACGACTGCCAAGCCGCATGGGCAAACAGGAGCTCGCCGTGACAGGGCAACTCACGCTTCGTGGATACCGTGCGTCAAGCGATCGGCACCCAGACATAACCACGCAAATACAGGCCAACACTCCGACACGTATCCTCCTTTTTAACCCCTTCCCCTACCAAAGCCGCGGCCGCGGCCGCGGGGGCCACCGCGACCCCTGCCTCCCCTTCCTCCCCTCCCGCCGCGCTCGGGCTCCTTGCGAGCCTTGTTCTTCGGCTTCGGTGCGTCATCGACCAGCAGCGTGTCCAGGGGCAGGCTGTCCGGGAGGATGAAGTAGCGGATGGTGCTGCCGCGTATGTTCATGGCGTCGAGCGGGATGGGGTCCTGGCCCCTGGGCGTCATCTTGACGTTGCGCAGCGCCGTGTTCATCTGCGGCGACACCGACGCGATCGTGCCGTGGACGATTGTGCCTATATAGTCCCGGAAGCAACCCCGTCTCGGTCAGTCGGGCGTCTCAACGCGGGCGGAAAGACGGTGAGGGCGGGACGAGGGTGGCTGTGAGGCGCTTTTCGACCGTACCATTCTTGAGCTCGATGGTCACCGTCTCGTTGGTGCACTTCATTAAGAACCTGGGGCGGAAGAATTGTTAGTGGAAGTTTGGGCGCGTTTGGGGGAAAACGGCGTGGCTACATGCGAGACGCGCTTCATGAATGCTTACCTGACGAGCTTCATCTTGATGGAGTTGTGAGCGTTTTTCACACTCTGATGGTCTAGGAGCGGGGTAGGTGGACAGTTGAATGTCGGCGGACGGCGCTCGCGTCTGTGGTTGGCGCCCGGGAGGTCAATTCGCGCGAACTTTGGCGGGATGGTGGGTGGGCTCAGACGGCAAGCCTTGCGATGCGGGCGGCAGCTCTCTCTAGCATCACCCAAGCTCGAGCCAAAAATCGACAAGGCTGAGTTGCGTCCGTAGTTGGCTTCTCATCACGTGTGTGTGTGTGGGTCGCTCCCGGAGCTCAACGGGTACAAGTACACATGTACTGCGGGGTTGTTTTACGCGTGGAGCTGCCTGCGCTGGAGTTGGGTCCGCCGCCGGGCCAGAAAAGAATCCCGGGGGAAAAAAAAGCTCACGTGTGAAGAACGGAGACACGCAGGTGACCGCAGATAACCTGCTACAATGTATATGGAGGACGTCACCTCAGGAATGGAAATATGGTTAGCGGTCGGAATAAAGTGACGGCTTTGAAGTGACGCTCGTTATGGGGCGCGTTCCGCTCTCTCCACGACTTTCCTTAGTCCATGGCGCGGACGGTGTTGTGATTTCTGCTGTTGCGGCTGGGCGCTCACGCAGTTGGGTTATTACCAGGCAGGGGCAACAATGTGTGAGCCAGAATGTCTAAAGCTGCAACAATGTGTGAATGCTAGGTCCTGTCGTGATGGTTTCAGTGGCTCGAGCGATGCGCCATTACAACAAGTCGACACAAGAATGTGGTGATCCCATCACTCCGGCTCCCTCCGACTAATTCCACCAGTACAAAAACGAATGCTGGAGAGCCCGAGCGCCAGGACAAGTGCCACACGTAAACCCAACAAAAGCTCGTACCCCCCGACCTCAGCGGTCTTTCTCGTTTTCATTCTCCGACACCTTCTCCCACTCGTCCTCGGTGCTCACACCCGACTTGCTGCTTGGGGCGGACGGAGTGAGCGGTCCGGCGGCGGGGGCGGTCCGGTGCTTCAGTTCTCCGACCTTTTCGACGGGCTCGACCTCGCTGCTCGCGGCTGCTGCTGCTGCTACCGCTGCGGCTGCCGTTGCGGCATGGGCGGCCGCCGTCTCGATCTCCGTCTCGGTGTCGGACGAGCTGGCAGGAATGGCGCCGCGGGCTCCCGGTGCGCCTCCGCGCTTGGCGTTGTCCTGCTCCTCGCGCCTCTGGGCCTCCTGGAGCTCGCGCGCGAACCAGTTGATGGCCCACCACAGGCCGCTACAGAGACCCGAAAGAATGAAGAAGTGGATGCTGTAGGTCGCGATCAGGAGCGCCAGGAGCACGGCCTGCAGCGCCGCAAAGGTGATGTTGGTCGCGATCAGGAGCGACGGGGTCGGGCCCGGCGTAAAGATGGATTCCCACAAGTCTTCAAAGAAGGACATGGCTGCGATCTTTGCTTGTTTGTGCCCACGCGCGGGTGTATGGCGATGTATGCGTTTTGATTTAGGGAGGTCCCTTTCGTCCTTTTGGCTGTTCAGGGGGAGTTTGCGCAACAATGTGGGATAAGGGGCCAAGGCAGACAGGAGGGCGCAAATTTGTGGTGCTGTCCAAAAGGCGCGTTGCTCTGGCAGGTCGCGAACGACGCAGCTTTCTGGAGACGCAGCCGCTGTTGCGTCTGCCCGCTGTAGTTGCTTCTAGCAGCTGTTCCTTGCGACGTGTTTGAGGTTGCGATGCCGGAAGCCGGGATGGCCAAGCTATAGAGACTGCAGGTCCTTGACTCGCTGGTACCTGGATAGAGGGGAATTCGGAAGAGCAGGCCGATGATGTCGGGAGAGGTGTTGGCGGGGTTTTTGGGGTGGGTGGCTGGTTGAAAAGCCGCCTTTTTGACCCTCATGGGACCCAAAATGATGTGGCGACGTATTCACCCGCCCAGGACAAGACAAAGAAAGAGGACAGCTTGACTGGACTGCCGCTATTGCTGCCTATCACCAACGTGTCAGGAGTCAACCAGCCAGCCTGTTTACTTGCGTTGCGACCCCTCCACCCCCTGTGTTGGAGGGAAAGCGTGGCCCAACCCGAAATGGAAATGCCTATCCTGTCCGCGTGGTGGGGCGCTGACTATGGATGCACTCAGGGTACGGGTGTGACCAGTGTGCAACTGCTAGCAAGGCGCGAGACTTGAGTGACCAAGGAGAATCTTTACCACGAGCCTGGGTTTCACACCTCTGAACAGTACCACAGCACATGCAGATTCGGGGCCTCAAGACCTGGGATGCTTGGTAGCCGCCGCCGCCGCCACTATAGCGTGGACCATTCGTAGGCGTACTCATGACCCCAAGCTTCCAACTAGGCCTGCAGCCCGTTGCCCCTATGGGTAGTGTGCGTCTTTGCGACAGTTTGAAAAAGGTAGGTATTGGAAGGCTTCACATCGTCCCGGATAGAGAAAGAGAAATCAAGAATATTTGCTCTCTCTATCCGGCCTCGAGCCCACTCTCTCGTTACGCATCGTGTCGTACTAAGCATAGGTCCGCTACAACGAATAGTCGAAAAATACGAGGTTGATTTCCCTCTGGGTCCTTTGTCTTGGTGACTGCACGGCACCGCGGCACCCACTTTAACTGTAACAAAGGCTCTCCTTTGATATTATCCCGCGATACTTAATCCTGCCCTTGCTCCGTATTTGCTGTTCTCGGTCGGATCGTGACATTCATCTTATCGTTTTTGCGCAACGCCACCTGCAGAACACCTTTTCCAGCACCGGGCCTGATCTTGACCTGCAAATGGCCGAATCGGAAGACACGCACAGTACCCGCCCGACCAACCGTGGGCTAAGCCCTCATTTGGTGCAGTGGCTCAGCAGCACGATTCTAGGGATTTCGGTTAGACCCCGCCCTCCAACCAATGACAGCTGCCCCTGCAGCAGCCCGGGCTGTGCTGGCTTGGGGGAGCCTCAAGCCGGTCTAGGTTGCGCCACGGCCAAACCAAAACCAGCACGATGCTGCCGTTGGTCAAGCCCATCAGCCCCAGCGGTTTCTTTCCTGCCTTTTTCTCTTAGGCCTGCTGCGTTTCGATCCCTTCCTTCTCATCCCCTCTGTCTGCCGCGATCCAATACCGCCACTCGGCCAATTCATCGCCGGCCTCGCTATTGATCAGGCAGGCCACTCTCCCCTCCCTGGCTGGATCGAATCGCGCTTCCGGCCATCACTCCACTCTTTCCAGCGCCCGCCCCTCCAAGCATGATCGCTGGTGCCCGGTGGAAACCGCCCAGCAGCTCGTCTAATTAGCTCCGCCCGGCCCTGCGCCGACGACGCATTTCAGCTCGGGGTTCCGGCGGCCCACCTCCAGCGACCGATGCAGCTCGAGAAGGACGGCATCGTCATGTCGCCTCCAGACTCGGACATGGACGACTTCGATTCGGCCGAGACGTCGTCCACCGAACGCGCCCCCTCCACGAAGCCGCCTGCGCTGGCCAGCTCGCCTGGAACCAAAATGCTCAAGGGGAAGGCAAAGGAATGGAGCAGCCAGAGGGAGACTCCGCTGACCCTGCTCGAGCTTCCGGTTGACATTCTTCGACTGATTGTCAAGGAGGTATGCCGCCTCCCGGCTTGACCATCGCCATAAATGTTCTGACCATGTGCTCACCATGTGCTCGCCTGCGTGCCCTTAGATAACCCATACAAACGATCTCACCTCGCTTGCATTAGCCAATTCTATGTTGCACACCCTGGCGATCCCGCACATTTACGCCAGGTTCGACATTGTATGGCCCGATGCCCACATGACGACATCCGACACCAAGAGTGTCGACGCCTTGACATACGGCCTATCGACGCTGAGCCTGGGCAGTGGCTTCAGTCGTATCAGGCAAAGACTCGCCCGCCAAGGCTCTCGGAGCGACGGCCGTCCGCCCTTCAACCCCGCCGGCAACAGCTATGCGCTCCACACACGCAAGTTCTCGCTCGGGAACGGCCCCCAGGACTGGGTCGCCGAGTACATGATTGCCAAAGAGAGCGGCAAGATGCTGGGCACGCTCGTAGCCATGGCCGTTGCCAAAATGGCAAACCTGGAAGCATTTGTGTGGGATATGCCCACGGGCGTGCTCGCCGAGATCTTTCTGGCCCTGGCGTCCCTGCCTGACCACCACGATGACGGCGATTGTAACCTGGAACGAGTTTGGATCCGCTGGCACGACAACAGTGACGCGACTCCTGACCCTGGGAACCCAGTGACGGGCCCTGGACCTGTGATTTATCACGTGGTTCTTCCCAATGACAGCACCATGACCCAGGTTGGTATCAAGATCCCATCCAACACAAATCACCCGAAGCCGTTGCCCGCCATACCCTATTCTGCCAGCGTTGTCGAGTATCCTACTTTCAGTGTCCTCCCACCCCTCAAGAGCCTCACGGTTCTAGACATCGATGAGCTCGCCTACCTCGACGAGATGGCTATGCTCATCGAGAGGTCGCAGACCAAGCTGAAAGAGCTTCGCGTCGGCATGTCGGCCAAGGTTCAGCACAAGGAGTGGATTCAACCGTGGGACGGACCTGAGCTGCAGCAGGTTGATCATGACGCACACTGGCCCGGCGCGAGCACGATTGGGAAACGCAGGCTTGGTGGTGTACTTGGGACGCTCGTCGGGCGAATCTATGATATTCGAAAGCCAGGGGTGAGGCACCGCGAGAGGACAACAACGACAGCCCCGACAGTCGAGACCCCTATCGAGCAAGTCGGCGGGACCGAGTCTACGGATTTAAATGACGTGGCGCAACCCATGGCAGACCCGTCGAGCGAACAACAATTGACGAATGGCAACGGACCAAAGCCGCAGAAGATGGAGGCTCACGGGCAGACTGGGGACCAGACTCAGAATTCGGACAGCAATGGAAATTACCAGAGTCCAAGTCAGGATGCAGCCACAATGGAGCAGGAGGCCGTACGCGAAGTCAGGCGGCAGGCTGATGTCTCAGGCCAGGTAAAGGGGGATGGCCAATCAAAGGCCAAAGCGGAGGCACCAGTGCGCAAGCGTCTGGAAGGAAAGTTGAGGCTACATACCCTGGAGCTGGAGAGGATCTCGTTGTCGATTCAGGTTTGCATTCGGGCATTTGACTGGACGACACTCACAAACCTCACCATTCTGGAGTGTGGCCAAAACGAGACTCTATGGAAGCTGCTGAGATATCAGTTCCAGCCAATCCAAGTGAGTGGTGGATACGGCATCTCGCCTCTGAGCCGGCACGCCGGCACGCCGCAGATGCAGTACCGGCTCTGTCTAAAACACATCCACACCGACTTGACCTCGGCGCCTCTGATCAGCTTCATCAACGAAACCCTTGCGCCGAACACGCTTGAGGTGCTGTTCTTACAGGATCGACGCAGGGGCCCGGCCCCTCCTCTTGTCACGGTTGATGCCATCTTCAAGGGCGCATTGAAGCGTCACAGATCGAGTCTGCGGAAACTATTGCTGGACAGCTCGGTCAAGGTCATCCCAGGGGTGCAGACCAGCCCTGCAGAAAACAACAGGTGGACTCACTGGGTATTGACGACAGAGATGGTGCTCTACATTACGAGCGGGCGTATGAGCAACCTGCGAGAGCTTGCGGCCTCTCTTGCCTACGTGGATTGGGTGAGCACCCCGCGCAACTTTTGGGACAGTTTCTTGCATGTATTTTGTGTCTAACCTCTTCACAGCACACCTTTCTGCGACGCCTGCCAAATATTGCGCAGTTAAGGTCGCTGAACATCCCCCGTATCGGAGATCACATTATGAATAATGTCGAGCCCAAAGAGCTGGCCATGCAGATCGCCGACATTATAACACTGCGACCCGAGATACAGCTCTGCTACATAGGCATCTCGACCAAATGCTTCGAGGTGCTCGAGACCCCGGCCGAGGAGCGCGACAATAGTCCTATCAACGGGGGTGCAGGATCCGGCTCGGACATTCCCAGCGGTGAAAACGGCACTGTGGGAGCGAGTAACAACACTGGCGGACAGCTCTCGGATAACGAGTCTATCGTCGAGGCCGAGTCGGACGGTGAGGCTCAAGGCGAAACGAGCGAGGAAGAGGACCATGACGAGACCGAAGACGAGGATGGCGCAGCGCCGACGAATGCCGTGGGCGATGCGGACGAGACACAATCAGAGGGCCACTCGGACGGCGGCGACGACTCGGACGACTCGGACGGCTTCGTTGACCCTGACCACGCCCAAGATAACGCAAGGCTGCGTCTCCGGGAAATTCTGTTTTATGATGATAAGGTCGCCATCTTCAAAGCCAGACATGGCCGACTGTAGTACAGCGAGCCCCCAACGTTATATTTGCGTTGACCGCTGCTCGCTGTTCTCGGCCACGAGGCTGGCGGTCAATTACATTACAGCCCACATACTGCTTTGATTTGGAGCGTGAGAAGAGCATCGGGTAGGACAGGATGAAAGTGGATCTGTCTTTTTTCCACGATTTTTCTTGTCATTTGCCCTCGCCCGGCTTTCTGCAACCTTGCGCCGCAAGATTGTTCGCATTTTTCTTTGCTATTTTCTCCCACAATACCCACGAACAGCATTGACGACAACGACAGTTTACGACCTTTCCATTGCTTAGCTGGCATGGGCATCTGGATGCAATGCCCTTTCTTTTACTTTAGTACGATTTCAGCACGGTTGCAACTTCTACCATGGGCCGGTGCCTCAATTCATCATGTACTTTCGGGGTTTTTTTTATCTACACTAACATATCACGCACGCCAGCGATGTTCATGACAGTGACGCTGCCCCAATGCTTGTGTGTCGTCATTCCGTTTATATGTCAGGAGGTGGCGCGCACATGGAGGCGTCAGCCGGTGAATGTATTCATCTCTCCCCGGTTGGTCGTCTAATGCAAAGGACGGTCCGGAGCAACAAGAGCAGGTATGGGGTGGATGAGGACCTCAACCAACAGCGGTCTAGTGCCCAGGCACCCTGGCTAGGCGTCTTCATTCCCACGAGGTCGTTTAGCTGCGTGTTTTGCCGGGAGCCACCAGTACGGCACATGCGGCGCAGGTCCTGGGACCATGCTACGCCAAGGCCGATCGCCGTCACCAACAGACGGCCTTGGGTATCCGCTCAAAGCCCCCTCTTGCGAGCTTTTCCCTCTTCTTCCGTGCTTGTGTCCTGTTCTTTTGCCGGATTTATTTAGGGCCATCGGCTCGCCATCGGGATCTTGATCATCACAAAAAAAAGCAGTCGCAATTTCTGGGCTACTTTGCCAGCCCACCTCAAACCATGACGACCCCAACTGCAGGAGGCGCGCCGGACACCACCACCGACGATGCGGCCGCCGTCGCCTCTCCCAGCCCGACCGGGATGGCGTCCTCGACGTCCCCCAGCAGCAGCAGAAGCAGCGGAGACGCGCGTCGCGGGCAGCACGACGGGACGCCCCCGGCGGCGGCCTTGACGACGGTGTGGAGGCCGCCGTGCCCCGGGGGCCCCATAAGCTGGGACAGGTCGCGGACGGTGCTGCCCAGGGTCGAGGCCTTTTCCCCGTGCCTGCCCGAGGGCTGGGTCACGACGGGGTACTTCTCGCCCGCCATCTGCCCGAGCGGGTACGTCTCGGCTTGCGGGCGCTTCGACGCCGCCCAGGGGCCGCCGGTCGAGGCGGGCGAGACAGCGGTCTTGTGTGGGCCTCCGTATGTATTTTTTCCCCTCCTCGTCCTCCCGTTTGAGTGTCCAGCAGACAGACAGGCAGACAGACAGGCAGGCAGGCAGGCAGGGATCCTGCGAACGGGGCTAACTAGGAAAACAGCGGCTTCACTTGCAACGCAAAAGATGCCGTCTACGCAAAGAGCGACGCATTCGACGCGCCCATGATCCAGATCCGCTGGCGGTCGTCCGACATCTCCATCTTGCAGACACACCCCCTATCGCCGACGTCCCCGGTCACGACCGCGGGCGGCTCGCCGACTGCCGCGGCCGACACGGCCGCCTCCGCTGCCGACGGCGGCCACGGGGCAGGTGGCGGCCTCCCGCCAGGGGCCATCGCGGCCATCATCGTCGGGTCCATGGTCGCCGTGGCGCTCGTGGTCCTGGCGGGGCTGTTGGTCTGTAGGCACCGCCGCGCCCGCCGCGGCCATAGTCGCTGCTCGCGATCGCCGGGTCGGCAGCGGCGGCGGCGTGGAACTAATCTCCGTCACCCGCGAGAGCCGGAGCTCCCGGCCGAGGAGGTGCTGGTGGACGATAAGAAGCGGCCGCCGTTCTACAACAACCGCAGGGCCGCCACAAGAGACAGCGCCGCGGTCACGACAGTATCGGACAAGCGGAGGCTGCAGCGGCTACAACAGCGTCTGCAACAATCGCAACAGCAACAGCAGGAGCAGCAGCAACAACAACATCAGCAACAGCAACAGCAACAGCAGCGTAGGAGCATCCAGGAGCTGCCGGGGCACGAAATTCCCTTTGAGATGGGCGACGGCTCGTCCCCCTCGGCCCGCCCATGCGAGCTGTCGGCGACGGTGGTGGATGTGCAGGAGGCGGCGGCGTACGGCCCTTGCGGGCTGCCCGGGGAGTGGGGTGCTTTGTATCATCACGATCACGCGCAGCACCAGGTCTCGGATATTACTCTAACCGCGACGGCAGAGAGTAGAGCGTCGCCAGTGTCAACACCGGCGGCGGCGGCGGCGGCGAGCTCGAGGAGCTGCGGGTAAGGCACGCGCGAATCGAGGCCAGGCGGGAGAGGCTGCGGGAGCTGCAGCTGCTGGACGAGGAGGAGGGGATGGTTCGGAGGAGGTTGGCAGAGATACAGGGTGACCGCTGATGCGTGATTTGCTTACTGAAGAGCGTTGGGATGTCCTCGAGGCTGGAGTCGGTCTAGATATAATGTTATTTACACAAGGAAGGGCATTCTGAGTCTATCGGGTGTCACAGCAGGTTTCGTCGCTGGTCTGAGCATGCTCTTCATTTCTCCAAGGTTGATTTGGTACCCGATCACTTGGTCCACTTGACCGGACGTCCTGTCCCCATGGCTGTCTATAGGGCCTCGTGTGTCCTTGCTACCCTGGTTCAACCCCAGATCGTGAGAAAGGCAGAGGGGCAATGGCATCGACTAGGATTACGGGGAGCACCGCACGAGAGCCAACGGAAATAGGCTGAGCCAACCCATTTTCTGGCGGAGACGGGCGATCTACGTTTAGAATACAACAGCCCAAATAACAGGCTCTGATCCCACGCCCCCTTCCATGGTCATGTTACCACCCAGTTGACACCTTCTCTGCAGGCTAGACCTGGCAGAGTCGTTGACCGTGAGCTTTTTTTCAAAGCAGAGCAGGCATGCTGTCAAGTAGATAGGAATAAAGGGGGGCGGGGCGTGTGCGTGGAGTAGGGGGAATGAAGGGTAAAGAGTCAATGTGATAGCAGCGCACACTCTCAAGCGTTTCCCTTGGAGAATCGCAATACAGCGAGACCAGTTGCTAGCTATGACAATGCATGAACCGTTATCAGTGTACAAAAGCACTCCTTTGACCACACCCTCGGAATGACGGCACAGCTACCTGTATCGTTGGGAGGAAGATGAGGCCGACGCTGCCCCCAGGGAGTGACTCCTAAAACAACTTCTCTTCCGCCTGCACATACTCCGTATGTGTCACCGGAGACGTTCCCAAACGAGGTTAACGCATGGTGGGCAAGGGTGCGGGCATCCCATCTGCCCAGCCGGCACCACGGAAGAAGGAGGGGTAGGAGAGTGCGTGTCCAATACGCGCGGCATCCTTCTCGTGCCCATGAGTCTAAACGAGACTCGCAGTGCCTTGAGGGACCAGAGACTAGGTACGTACCCTATGAAGGCGTGCGAAAGCAGCTCACATCTGCCGACCCGACCTCGACGGAGTTAACATGCCGGCCAGCTTTGCGTTGCTGCATGGGCCATGGTTAGCGGCACAAAAAAAAAATGAAGAAAACGGAGTGGCTCGGTCCTACCCCTCCTCGCGATGCAAGGGATAGAGCTATTTTTTTCAGGTGCCAAGAGCAACCCGAGCCCGGCTACATGGATATGGAAGAATAGTCGCGCAACACTCCCCCGACCGCCCCGTTGGTGGAGACGCAAAAGACTTGTGCGGAGCTCCCGATAGGCTAGCCACGACGGCGGCTTTCCTCCGGAGCGAGGTGCGAGGCTGTAGAGGGGGGGAGTGATACTTCGCGTTGCCGGCCGGGAAAAGGAGGATGCCAGTCCCAAGGCCCCGGGATTCGATGATGAAATCAGTGCACAAGGCGCTAAAGGAGGGAGGGGGCGTGGGTACAGTGGTCGAGGCCCAAGAGAGTGGAATGGATGCGGCTGGTCGGGGGGCTGGCAGCTTAGGTTTAGGTTGCAAAGTCCCCCTCTTGTCACTAGACTTGGAAGGGGGACGGAGCGAGCAGGGGGTGGGGTGGGAGCAGCATGTACGGACAATTCGGCACTGCCGGCCGGCAACCGGACGAGTTGGCCCCTCCCAATTGCAGGAGGCCTGGTACAGTCGTGTCTTGTTGGGTCGAGGGGTGTAAGTCGAGCATGTTGATATTCACAGCTCTGTCGGAATAGCTATCGAAAATGGTCTGGTGCCAAGGTCTAGTGGAAAGCCACTCTGCTTGGCGCGCCCCACACCTGCCGAAGCCACCCAATAGGCTCCTCCAGCCCGTCCCAGCAGAACGGTTCGCCTAGCCCGCCAAGGCTATGAGGCGCCCAATGGCCAGGGAAGGCGCCCGAGTCAGCCTGCCGGCGGATGTCGCACGGGACTGATTCTCTGGTTGTTGGTTGTTGTTGATGGAACAATACTAAGAGGCCAGAAAAAGAAAAGAAACAAGAAAAAAAGCAAAACGCCCGCACAATAGGTAGGTGGCACTTAGTTGGTATTGTCAAGTAGCACTGTGCGCTACACATGCACCAGCTACACCCTTAGCGGCCCCTGCAGCCCGTGATTGGCTGCGTCGTGCGTTATCTGCGTTCCATCACAGTGCCAGAATGGGTTCTATTGTGCATCCGCATGAATAGAAGCCATGTCTCGCCGTCAATAAGCAGAGAAAAGCAGAAAAAGCAAGACGGAAAGAGGGGAAGGCAACCATGAATGATTGACCATGGCGTTACTCTTTTGGCACTCGGATGGCCCACCAGCTCGTCACCACTCGGTTGCACACATCTTTTTTTCCGTATTGTTCTCGTATTCACATTATGTGTGAGGCTGCCTGCTGGGCTTGCTGGCTGGTGGCAGCGATCCTCGTGCCCTCCATGGCTTCCATCTTGGAGTATTTAGTGACGGCCTCCTCCCCTCTCTGCGTCCCTTCTTCTCTCTGCTTCATCCTCAGCGCACCCTTCCATCCTCTTTAAACATCAACTCAACAGACCGCTCTTGCTTCACCTTCTCCACCAACCCTCTCACTCCCTTCCTCACTCTTTCTCACTACCGCCCACCATGAACCGGCGCCCTCAGATGCCCAAGGCCACGCGCGCGGCACGCAACGGCGAGCCCCAGCCGCCGCCGCCCAACATCCACACGCTCCCGCGCATACGCATATCGCCCGAGATGGCCACGGCGCTGTACTACAGCAGGTACCCGCACGCAATCCCGCCCAACAGCACCGTGACCTCGGGCGAGATGGAGACGGCGAGGATGGTGGCGGCGGCGGCCCACCACACCCTCACCCGCAACCCGGAGCGGTACGTCCACGAGCAGCCGTCGTGGGGGGATCGCCCGCCCCGCGCGGGCCCGGTGGTGGCCAAGATGATGAGGATGCAGCTCCAGGCGGAAGCCGCCGCCGGCCGCGCCCCGGGAGCGAGGGGTGCTGCTGCCGCTGCTGTTGGTGGTGGCTCTGCCGCTGCCAACAACAACAACAACAACAACAACAGCGAAGGCAACACCAACGGCAGCACCAACACCAGCGCCACCGTCACCCCGACCCCCGTCGTCAGGCAATATGGCCCGGGCTTCGTCACCGTCGAAGACTACGAGGACATCTACAACGACGTCGACGACGACGAAAACCAGCCGGCCGGTGGCGACGACGGCGACGTCTCCCCCTCCCCCATCGAGCTGAACATCAACACGGGCGTGACGGTGTCGCAGAGCGACAACATGGTGGTGCTGTCGGCCAGCCCGGCCGACATGGCGGCCGGCGTGGCGGCCGCGGTGCTGGCGGCCATCGAGCAGGCCAGCAGCGCGCGCGTCGGCATCCCCATGATCGACGAGAGCGGTGCGCCGCGGCCCCTGCGCGTCCGTGTCGACGCCTCCATCCGCGTCGGCGGCTCCGGCAACGTGCTCGGGCCCGAGGCCCTCGTGCGCGAGTGCCTGCTGGCCAGGGCTGCTGCTGCCGCCGCCGCCGCCGCCGGCCTGCCGCGCGAGGCTGCGGACAAGGGCAAGCGCGCCAGGGACGAGGCCGAGGAGTGGGATGAGGAGGACAATGATGCCGAGAGCGTGGGGAGCAAGAGGTCGCGCAGCGCCTGAGCTGGCGGGACTGTTTTTATTTCAACTTGTCTTGTTTTTTTGAGATTTTCTCGTCTCTGGCTTTACCTCGCTCCTTTATTTGCTATTTATTCTTACGTGAGAATCTGGGGTGTGAAGTATATGAAGGCACACATATTACGACGATAATTAGCTGTATTTCTTTTTGGCTTTGGGACGGATGGAGAGAGCAGTAACCTGAATAGGATCTAGATTGCAGAAATACATAAATCTGGGCAGGTCTTGTTTGTGGACCCCTTTAGTGCCATGTCGTCATAAAGCCCAGAGCGAGACGGAAATACCAGCATTTGTAGATCGGTATTAACCGCCGAGGGCTGTCGAGTCGGATGGCAGGTGCCGAAGTCCAGGCAAGATCCGCAACGATGGCAGGTTGTCTGCCCCTGGGTGTGGGAGCGTGAGATCTTGGTCTTGGCGGCACTTGTGTTGCTCGAGCTGTTTTTGGCTTCCATTTGGCCTGGTTGCCGTTTGGGGCGATGCAGTCAGAGCCGTCCATCATCGCCATGCTTGGCGCGTGGGACAGGAATAAGGAATTCTCGTGTTTCCACGGCTTTTCGACAATTGTTTGCGGCTCACTGTTTCTCATTCCTGTTTCTCATTCTGGGGTGCAGTACTGTGGTCATCCAAAAAAAATCGGGCTTACCATCCGTGCCTTCCCTGGTGCGAGGATTGGCATGGCGTTAGGCCGCAAACCTGCTACAGATCTCAGTCCCGACCCTGCTCCTTGCCAACGGCGACAGTGGGCTCGAACTTCGAACTGACGGCACCAGACCTGCTGACATGGCGGCTGCAGCGGTCGGCTGGGCCTGGCCTGATCCTACGGGCCCGTGGGCCCCGTTGCGCCCTGCACGCTGCACACTGCCACCTGCAGATCTAGCCAGCCATGGCAAATGCCAGCCCTTGAAGGTGGCCCCCTGCTTCCCTTAAAATCCCCTTTCGTCCCGACACGTCCTCGACGGCGGCATGGAAACGCTGTTCTGGTCCCTCTGCGCACTTGGCTCTGGCAATTGATTTTTTCCTGCTTGTCCACTCTCTCATTGTTCCGTCCTGGGTCTCTCCCTAGGTACCTTACATACCTGTAGTTACCTGTAGGACACCAACAACACCACCAACCCTGTCCTTGTCCTTGCCATCACATCACCACCAGCCCTACCACGATGCCGATCCGCAACCCCTTTGCCCGCCGCCCCGGCGTCCTGGTCCAGACGGACGAAAACGTGCGCCCGGCCGAGGACCCGTCCCACCCGGGCTTCGAGCGCGTCGACACGGTCGGCTCCAAAACCTCGTCCGCCCTCAGCATCACCAGCAGCAGGAGAAGCGACGACAATGGCGAATACAAGATGAGCGGTATGCGCCCTCTCTGCCTTGGTGCCCTGCCCCCCTGTCCGTCCCCCTTTGCCCCTCATTCTGCCGAGCCGGCTGCGCCGCTCTGTCTTTGGGGCACGCGCGCACGCTGGCGCTCTTGGCAATGGCAGCCCCTCGGTTCGCCTGCGCGGGCCAGCCATTCGCGTCGCAGAAATCCATCCCTGCTGAAGCGAGGCCGTCGCTTCAATTGGCTGACTGGTGACAATTGAACGGCAAACCCGCAGTGGTCAACGACAGTGGCGTCTATCTTCCCGTATGGCTTAACTACTACCTCTCGGGCTTAATTTAATGCCTTGGTAACGACGCTGACATCAGACCCTAATCTCAGCCCTCGCCCGTCGAAAAGGGTGAGCCATCCTGGCCCAAGAAGTACCTGTCGCGCAACTCGGAGGACAACCGAAACAGCCTCAGCGCCGACAGGGAACACTTTACCATCTCGAGAGAGTCCTTTGATTCGTACCGCCGCTCATTCGTGAGTTTCCCCCTCCTTCCCCGCTCTCAAACCATGGTCTTCTCGCGGGCAGCGGTCCCCCTGCGCCAGGCCCTGGCAACCGACGACTAACCCCTGTACCGCACGCCCGCCAGGACATTTCGGCGAGGTCGCCCGTGGCGAACAATGACACACCGCCGACGCGGCAGAGCCTCGACTCGGCGCGCTTCCCCCGCCCCCGCGTGTCCATGAGCGAGCGCCGGCTCGAGCCGCCCACGGCCGAGGACCCGTTCGAGGACGTCGGGCTCGACGACGACCGCCACAAGCAGCAGCACACGAAGCGCAGGGGCTTCTTCTCCAAGTTCGGCTCCGCCGACCACTCGGACGCCGGCGCCGGCCAGCAGCAGCCGCTGTCGGCCGGCCACTCCCCCTCGGCCCCCATGGTCTCGCGCTTCCTGCCGGGCCGGAAGCGCGCCCAGAGCGGCAGTCAGGAGCTGAGCCCCATGGAGCGCCCCGTCGCCGCTGTCTCGTCCGAGGTCCCGGTCGAGACGCAGTAGCATCCCGAGTCTGGCTTGTAACTCGAGAGCGACGAATGACGAGCCAACGACGCGACGACCCAGAAACAGGGTCTGTACATAACATATGCATGCTCTTTTTCCTTTTCTCCTTCTCTTTTCCTCCTTCTCTTTTTCCTTACGACCCATATATAAGCCCTTCATTCCAAAGCGCTATATATAATGGATCGCTACGAGCAGGTTAGGCGGCGGCAATCAGCCGCCCATTTGGAGCACGAGCACAGGCACCCCGAATTTTGGAGCGCTCATCTGCTCACATGTGGTATTTATACCACGTATATTGGGTGGAGTTTCGGAGTTGACGGTTTTGGATGGAATGGGCAAAGTTGCACAACGGCATCCATATTTATAGCTTCCCTGGAGGGTTATAGCTTCCCTGCAAGGTCCAAGGTGTGGGTAAGACTTGTTACCTACCTCTACACGTACCTAGAAAACGGGTGGACCTGGTGGCTGGCCTGGGATGGTCTGCAATAATAAGAGGCAGCCCGAGCATGAGATAAATGCGTGTCGATTTTGGCAGGTCCTTGGTGGATCTAACTGTGTGCGCAAGCTGTGGTCCAGATGAGCACTGTTTTTCCTCGGGACCGGTATCGGCCCGTCATTCTCGTTCATGTAAAATTTGCGTAAGGACAAGCGGATGGCAGTGGCTTAAAACGTCGACATCAAGGGCTCCGGTCCTTGTTGGATTAGGTTAGTCCCAGCGGACCGGATTCCGTCTCGTCATGCATTGCAATCGGCTCCTTTTTATGGCGCAAACGATAGAGTGGGTGGGCGAAACGAACCCCGCAGACGGTGCGCCTTGCGCTTGACATGAAGCTTCGGGATCGCCCGAGGGGTATATATATATATATACCTAGGTGTGTGGGTAGTATCCAAGATGCCCATCTGCCCTCTATAGTTGCCTTCAGACGCGCAGCTGGCATATAGTTCTTGAGCCTAGGAGTCAAAGACAGCACACTAATGGCGGACCCAAAGACAGAGGCCGCCCGGCCTGCCGGCCCTGGCCCCGAGCCCCTGGAGGCGGCCTTGGAGCCCGGGCTATCGCTGTCGACGCGCGCCATGCACGCCGACGACTACATCAACAGCCACCCGGCCGTCGCGCCGCCGATGCACGTCAGCACCACGTTCCGGTACAACGAGGACCCGGACAAGTTGGTGTTTTGGGGGCAGCCAGACGTGTGTTTTTTTTTTCCTCCCCCCCGTCCCCTTCTCTTCTCTTCACTCGCCGCAAAAACACTAACGCCAACACACAAAACACAAGCCAAACGCAACCCACGACACGCACACCTACTCGCGCGAGACGGCCCCCAACACGACCCGCATGGAGGCCATCCTGACCTCAGCCGTGGGCGCGCCGTGCCTGACCTACAGCTCGGGGCTGTCGGCCCTGCACGCGCTCCTGACCCACCTCAACCCGCGCCGGATCGCGCTCGAGGGCGGCTACAGCGGCTCGCACGGCGTCGTCGCGCTCCTGTCGCGGCTCACGGGGCTCGAGGCCGTCCCGTCGCTGTCGGACGAGTCCCTGTCCCTCCTCGGCCCCGGGGACGTGGTGCACGTCGAGACGCCGCTCAACCCCACGGGCGAGGCGCGCGACCTCGAGCGGCTCGCGGCCGCCGCCAGGCGCAGGGGCGCGTACCTGACGGTCGACGCGACGTTTGCGCCGCCGCCGCTGCTGGACCCGTTCCTGTGGGGCGCCGACGCCGTGGTGCACAGCGGCACAAAGTACTTTGGCGGGCATTCAGACATGCTGTGCGGCGTGCTGGCCGTCGCGCCGCGGTGGGCCGTCGACAACAAGATGACGGCGCAGGGGCAGGGGCAGGGGCAGGAGGAGAAGAGGAGAGGAAGACTGGAGGCCGGCGGCTGGGTCGGGCAGCTGCGCGCCGACCGGCTGGTGCTGGGCTCCGTCATGGGAAGCATGGAGGGGTGGCTGGGCGTGCGGAGCCTGCGGACGCTGGAGCTGCGCGTGGAGCGGCAGAGCGCGAGCGCGCAGCGGCTGGTCGACTGGCTGGTGGCGGCGTCGGCGGCGGCGGCTAGCAAGGAGGGACAGGGACAGTCGTCGCCCGTGGCCGCCGGGCTGGTCGTGCAGGTGCGACACGCCAGCCAGCAGCCAGAGGCGGCCGACGCCGGGTCGTGGCTGCGGCGGCAGATGCCGCGCGGCTTCGGGCCCGTCTTCTCCGTCGTGCTCGACAGCGAGGACCACGCGCGCCGGCTGCCGAGCAAACTGCGGCTGTTCCACCACGCCACCAGCCTGGGAGGAGTCGAGAGCCTGATCGAGTGGCGCGCCATGACGGACCCGCTCGTCGACAGGCGCCTGCTCCGCGTCAGCGTCGGCGTCGAGGCCTGGGAGGACCTGCGGGAGGACCTGCTGCAGGGCTTCCGGGCGATTGTGGACGAGGACGGGGGCTAGGGGGGGTTAGCGGGTTGAGGTTGGGAGGGGTGTGCGTGGTGTGAAGCATGGCGATACAATCACCCTTGGACGGTTCGAGAGGGAGAGGAGAAATCAACAAGAAATGCATTAAAAGTTTGCCGCGTTTTCCATGGTCGGCGAACAACATGTCAAACAACGGGCTATATAAGCCCACTTAACAGGCAAAAACAAACAAATATATCAGAGAACAAAACCCCCCAAAACAACAGCCTCACTCGTGCTGTACATCTAACGAAAAGAAATGGCGCCAGAACTATGCAGATCATGCTATAACGTCGTCAATGTGCCAGTCCCAAAAAAAAAAAAAAAACCCTGTCCCTCTGATTATATACGTGTACAACGGCTGCAGCGTCCGTCCAGCGCCGCGGCAGGCGAAAAAAGAAAGTCATCGACCCGGCCGTCGCCTACGTGTCGGTGTCGGCCATGGTGATGAGCTCGCTGACGTTGACGAGCTGGTAGCCCCTCCGCCTGGCCTCGGGCAGGACCCTCTCGAGCATGGGCACTGTCCAGCTGCGGCGGTCGTGGCAGATGATGATGCGGCCCGGGCGCAGCATGCTGAGGATGTGGCGCGCGTTGAGGCGCCAGTGGCTGATCTGCGCGTCGTGCGGGTAGATGCTGCCCAGCACCAGCCGGTAGCCCAGCCGCGAGACAAGGCCGCGCATCCGGTCCGTGAAGAAGCCGGACCCGGGCCGGAAGTAGTTGTAGCGCGGGGCGTAGGGGCCGGGGCCGAGGCCGGGGCTCGAGCCTGGAGGTTTCCTGCTTTTTCTGACTCCGGCCTTTGCTCCTCTTCTTTGCTCCTCTTCTTCTCCTCCTTCGTCTTCTTCTTCTTCTTCTTCTTCTTCCTCCCCCTCCTCCTCCTCCTCCTCCTCCCGCTCAATGGCCACGTCGGCGTACGCGGCGCGGATCATGCCCTGGACGCGCAGGATCTGGTCCTCGAGCTCGTCGGGCCGCAGGCTGCGCGAGGCCTCGTCGTGCATGGCGTGGTTGCCGAGCTCGTGGCCCTCGCGCACGATGCGGCGCAGCAGCTCCTCGCGGCCCTCGACCTGGCCGCCGATGACGAAGAAGGTGGCGCGGGCGCCGTGCGCGCGCAGCAGGTCGAGTATGCGGGCCGTCTGGTCCGAGGGCGCGTCGTCGATGGTCAGGGCCACCACCTTTGCCGGGCCCGAGGAGGAGGAGCGGCCGTCCTCGGGGTGGTGGTGGTCCCGCGGTAGGCGGTCCGGGTCGACCTGCCAGAGCACGTCGGGCCAGTGGCGGGCCAGGTGGCGGAGCAGCGGGGCCGGCGGCTTGTAGACGGCGTACAGCGGCAGCAGCACGAGCAGGCTCAGGGCCGCGAGCGCCACCAGGGTCGCCATGCGGCGGCGACGGGCCCGGCGGCGGAACTTGGACGGGAGGCGGAAGAGGTTCGTGGCTGTAAGCATGGCCTTAGTAGTGGGGTCCTGTCGTCGTCTTCGTCGTCGTCGTCGTCGTCTACGTCTTCGTCGTCTTCGTCTTCGTCGTCTTCGTCGGATGGCTCGTGACTTGCAGACGCATCTTTGGGGGGCTGCGCTGCCGTCGACGCTTGCTTGGGCTTCAGGGGAAGGCGGCCTGGCCGGCGCTCGACTTTTGCGGTGGGTAAGACTGGACGGGCAGCTCCGCTGGTCGTCGGGTGTGCATCAGGGGTTCGCAAACGGCGGGGTGGGCAGACGGAGTCTGGTCTGGACTGCGTGTGGCTTGGAGGGAGAGGGTTGGAGTTTTTGGCCAGAGATGAAGGCGTTAAGCCACGCATCATCAGTGGCTTCAGTGGCTGTCCGCTGGCCTGGACCGTCAGGAGCCAATCACGAAGCGCTGCCAGAACGGCGGTCGCGAAACGGTGCCAGTGGGGGCATTGAACTTGGCTTTATGCAGTGCACGGCTAGGATAAGCCAAGACACGCAGCCGACTGCAACCCCCAAGCGACCGCTAAACCCAGACGCCCAAACCAAACGGACCTGGAAGGAAACGGACTAAAAACCAGCTCTGTCGGCACTGCGTTTGATGTCCGCATCATGAATATTCCCATCGTTCCTGCTCTGCGCTAGCTGTAGTGCGGCCGTGCTGGAGGCATTTATAGCCCACTTCCCAATTGGCTACTTCTCTCGCGTCCGTTGTTTTTTTCTTGGGATCGATTTTCTTTGGCATCGATTGCGTCAACGGCCCAGTGCTTGTACGATAAGCTCTCTTCTGATTCTTGTGCTGTTCCACCACCCAACAGCCAGCCAACCTTATTGCCGCCATTGAGGGCTTGCTGCTGTCTCCAGTGCCTGGTGCCGCCCGAGACTAAAACCCGGCTGGATCGGCTTTTTACCTGTCTGTCTGGGTCGGCTACCTGCACTGCCTGCTGCCTGCACTGCCAGTCTAGATCGGTCGTGGCACTCGAGTCCAACATAAACGGGCCACAAAGACATAAAAAAGAAAAACCACACCGTGCTCGGCATGGCTGCTAGAGAACGAAGGCCCTCGCCGCGTCGTCGCGGGACCGGCCCCGTGCTCACCTTCTCGACGGACGAGAGGCAGCCGCTGCTCCCCAGGAGGGAACAGGAACGGCCCAACCAGCGCGAGCCACCGCCGCTGTCCTCGTGCGTGACAAACAGCCACCAGCACCTGCCCGTCTACACAAACATCCACAGGATCCGCCGCGACATCGTGGCCATCGTCGAGGACTACCTCACCCTGGACCAGCTGCGGGACGTGCGCATCAACATCTCGGTCGTGCGCCCCCTGGTCGACAAGCTGTATGGGCTAGACGACATCTCTATAGGTCAGTGCCGGCGCGCTCTTGATCTTGACATGGTTGCGCTAGACCCGTGTAGCGTTGCATTGTGTCGTTGCATTGTGCCTGGCTAGTTCTAATGGTCTCTCTGATCATGTCCCCGTCCGACGTTCCAACAACAACAGTGTACTGCCTGCTCGTGAACCGGGTCCAATTTTTGTATGAACAGGCGCACCTGAACAACCGCCAAAATGTCAACTTTGCTCGCGCAACCCTCTGCGAGCTGGTTGCAACTAGGATCCTGCGCCGCTTCAGCGAGGACAACCCTGGAAATGACGGCCTCTTGGTCCTGGCCCACATCCTGGTTGCCGGCTTCCACCCCTTCCAGAACGCCCCTGATGACTTGTTCCGTGACGAGCAGCTGTCAGGCGAGCGGATACATCACAGATCGCTCCCGACTCTCGAGATTGCCATTCTAGGCGAGAGCAAGTTGTTTCTGAGCTCCACGAGCTGCCAGAAAGTGTGCGTACTTGGGCCTGCTGTCGTCTGACCCATTCCCCTTCTGCATCAAAATGAAATTCCCCTAGGATACTAACTGAACCCCTATAGCATCGATGCCATATACACGGGCAGGATCACCTACACCCCATCTAGCTACCTCAACATCATCCCGGATCGGTACAAGCAAAAGCCAATATCTCTGTACGACCCTCGGGATGCCTCCCTGTTGAATCAGTACCGGCTCATCGTTCCGCGCACCCGGAACATCCTCGAGGTCAGCCAGTTCATCATCCTGCTTGGTTTGTACCTGAGCTTCATGGCCGAGCGCAAGGTCTCCAAGATCAGCATCATCGAGATCTGCTTCGCCGTCTACGCCTTTGGCTGGGTGCTGGACAGCTTTGCTGCCATCCTCGAGCACGGCTGGCACGTTTACACGCAGAACCTGTGGTCGTTTCTCGACGTGGCCTTTTCGTGCATCTACTGGATTTATCTGGTGTTGCGCATCTACGGCCTGCACATGGGCCTCGACGAGCCCGGCCAGCAGGCGCTTGACGTGCTCGCCATGGCCGCCCCCGTGCTCATCCCGCGCCTCGCCTTCAACCTGCTCTCGGACAACCTGCTCTTTGTGTCGCTCCGGGCCATGATGTCCGACTTCACCCTACTCTCGGCCTTGGCCGCCTGGTGTTTTGGAGGCTTCATGCTCTCGCTCATCTGGCTAGGCGGGAACAAACACGAGCCGTTGACGATAGCCGAGTGGATGCTCTGGATATGGTTCGGGCTCGACGGTACGGGTATTCATCGCTCCGTCGAGTTCCACTGGCTACTGGGTCCTAGTCTCATGGTGGCCTTTACATTTTTGGGTACGTCACATCGAGCATCCCTGGATATTATTCTTGGTCTCGGCGAGGCTATCTTGTTCTGACCATGTGTGCGGACGGACAGGCAACACCCTTTTCCTCACCATTCTCGTCTCGATGCTTTCAAATACGTTTAGCACTAGTAAGTTTTATCCAGCAGCTTCTCTCTTCACTGAAACCGGACTGACTGACGAAAAAAAAATAGTTGTCCAAAACGCGACAGCCGAAATCCAGTATCGCCACGCTGTGCTGACCCTTGAGGGAGTCAAGGCAGACGCCATTTTTGCCTACCAGCCACCATTCAACATCATCGCCATGCTCATCCTGCTTCCACTCAAGTGGATCGTATCGCCACGCAAGTTTCACACCATCCACGTGGCCAGCGTGCGGACTCTCAACCTCCCATTGCTCCTCGCAATCGCGCTGGCCGAGCGGTGGTTCCTCTGGCCAAACGAGGACGGCAGCAGCAACACGGGCGGCACCAACACGGGCCTGGACACCGAGTCGCTGCGACCAGGAACGGCGCAGCAGGCCTCGGGCTCGTGGCCCTGGCAGTGGTCCTGGGACTGGTGGCACATCACGGCCCACGGAGACATCCAGGACGTCTTTGAGATCCAGCCGCCGCGCAGCGTGCGCGACGAAATCGCCGTCGATGACGACCTGACGCGGCACCTCATCCGCCGCCAGTTCACGCGCCAGATGAGCCACTCCAACGGGTCGGGCGCGGCGTCGGTCCAGAGCAGTCAGAAGCTGGGTGTCGCGGCCCAGAACAACTCTGGCGGCACGGTGAGCCCGGCCGCGGCGGACGGCCAACATGCGGCGGCCCAGGGGCAAGGGCAAGGACAAGGACAGGGCCAGGGGCAAAGCCCGAGCCAGAGCCAGAATCGGGAGCAAGGGCGCGGGCGCGACCCGGACAAGCGCTCGCCCCGGCCGCTGGGACGGCGCGACAGCATCGACCCGTTCCTGGTGGAGCAGCTGCGGCGGGTGGCCGGCTCGGACGACATGACGGCCATCACGGACCGGCTCGACTCGCTCGAGGATGCCATGTCGCGCATCGAGGACATGATCTCGCGGCTCTGCGGGGACTCGGCCTCGGAGACGGCCGACGAGCTCGCGGCCGCCGGCAAGGCGGGCACGCTCAAGGACTTGGATCAGACCTCGCTGAACGAATAGGAAGCGTCCAAGGGGTGCTGAGCATGGTCGTTGTTGTCGCGCGCTTGGGTGGGAGTAGTGTCAGCATGAGATAATATTGCAGAGGTGGTTCTGGGTCGGGGTCTGTTGTTTAGCAAGCGTTGTAGATGTTGCTACTTTGCCTATTATCGGGGCCTCGACGACTTCGGCTTCATTAAAGATCATGGTCTAGGTCGGGGTTCGTCGTCTAGCAAGCGATGTAGAGGTTGTTGCTTTGTCTATCGTTTGGGGTCTCGACGGCTCTGGCTTCATCAAACATCATGGTCTAGGTCGGGGTCTGTCGTTTAGCAAGCGATGTAGATAATGCCGCTTGATTTATCGCTTAGGCCTCAGCGGCGCAGCCTTTATCAAAACGCCAAGGTCTATCATATTCGGCTCGAGTTTGCCTCTGCGTGCTTTGCGCCGAAGGGGGAAAGCTCCCCCAAGGCCCGGGCTGGCCGGGCGTCTAGACCGCCCACGTTCCACGCCGTCCATGTGCGCGCGAGTTTCAGGTATACAGAGGCCTCCGACAAGGAGTTTGCCGGTCTGCACAATTCCAAAAAAAAGGGCGTGCCAGATTTTTTTTTTTTTTCGCGGGTTTCAGGCGCCAAGACCGGTTCGTGGCGCGGGCGACTGCAGGTCGGGGATCCGGACGGGGGAGGGCAGCCAAGGCCGGCCTTCCTGGTCGAGCCCGGACAGGCAGCCGTGTCACCCGCCGGGCCCCCTTTTTCGCTCACCCGCCCTTCAGATTTCTTTTAAACAGCGCCAAGCTTTTCCGTCACTTTCCTTGGCTTGATCTCTTTCTCCCCATCCAACTCAACCATCTTTTTTTTCACAACCAAAAGCTCACACACAAAACACCCAAACAAAACAACACCGATTTTTCCCCCTCTCAAAATCCACATGCAGAACATCCGCCGTCTCGCCGACAAGGAAGTGGCCTTCAAGCATCCAACGCCTTGAACCACCGGGCTGCCTCTTGGACGACAATTCAATCAGACCTTCCTTGCCCTGAACCGTCCAACAGCCAAACAAGAGTCGAATATCAACCTGAATATCAACTCAAAGCAATCACGCAAATTCACTGTCGCACCACCACTCACTCTCGTCCAGCCCTTCAGAAGCCACCTACCCACCAAGCCCCCCAGAAACCCAGAACCAAAAAAAGACAAAAAAAAAAAAAAAACAGACACCATGTGCCAGACGGCCTTCTTCAAGGACCCCACCTGCGGCTGCAAGTGGACGGCGGTGACGCAGCCGTGCTGGCCCGGCTACGGCTTCAGCACCTGCCCCTTCTTCTTCAACGGCATCCCCAAGGAGGCGCCGCCCTACTTCAAGGCCACCAAGCTCTGCTGCCCCAAGCACGACCTCGACGGCCACTACGACCGCAACATGGTGCGCATGGTCGTCCGCGTCGAGAACGGCCTGCGCTGGGGCCTGGGTCCCGGCAGGCGCGACCCGGGCGTCGACGTCTCCTGCAACGTCATGTAAAGCCGGGGAGAGGGTGGTGGGGGATGAAGGGAAACCGGGCTGTTCTGTTGATGTTTTTTTTTGGGGTGTCAACATGAGTCTGCTCGACAGGGAGACGACCGGGCCCTCAGGGGACCAGGGTTGGGAATGGAGCTAGGAAGTGTTGAGTCGAGCACATCAGACGTCACACGTCAGAGCTTTGAGCGTTGTGCCCGACTAGGTAGGTAGGTAGGGAGTGATTGAGTGGTGGGCTTTGGAGATGGAATATCTGGGAAAGTCAAATCACCTTCCATCTCCATAGTCTGCCAGCTCGATAAACAATGCGAAGCCATTCAAAGTCTACAACTTGCCTCCTCAATGACAAACCACCAGCAATGCGGCCCGAAGCAGATATGCCAGACAAGGCGTTGGTAAACCGCCGGTATTCCCCAAGGATCCATCTATCAACTGTTATTGACATCTTTAGCCTCACAGATTCCATACCTGCCATGGGCCTATATAAACCTCGACAGATACATCTCTCTCCAACAGTCCTCGAGATATTGCGCTACATCTCACAACATCTTTACCTCAACACCGCTTATCCCAGACACGAAAACCATGGCGGACCCAGAATCCCCAAATCCACCATCCATACCCCCGTCCCCGCCAGACTCGCCGGGCGCGATAGAGTATGTGAAAAAGGCATCTGAGCGTATCGCCGCCCAGAAGGCCCTCGAGGAGCAGCGGTACATATTCATCTACCCGGAACTAGGTCAGGTCGACATTGAGGATTTGAGGCCGCCAGACGGTGAGATTATTCTGTCATTTTCCGTGACTATCCCTTTTTTTCCTAGCTCAATGGAAGCGCGCTTGCACACCGCACGAGTACTTTCTTCCGCTCACACATAGCAAAACAACCACCTCCCCTCCCCCTTCCCCCTTTCCCCAGTCGAGCTCGACGGCTACTACGTCTTCGAGATCCCCGCACCCTACTCGGACCACGAGGACCGCTGGGATCTGTACATCAGCAAGGACGCGACCGAGGTCTGGGCCGAGAACCCAAACGTCGCTCCGGCCGGCAGGGCCGCGGGCGCCGGCAGCCGCCTCGGCGCCATCGACCTGGTGGTGGGGCGGGGCGACTGGTTCGCCAGGAGATCCGGGCACATCAAGGTGGCCTACCCGAAGAGACGGGACCCTCCCACGACCGTGGACTGCTCCGGGCCCCGCCAGCGCGTGCCAGACGAGGTGAGGCAGCGGTTCTACGAGGAGGCCGGGGAGGAGGACAAGACCGAGGGGAAGGATGAGTAGGGCGAGGATGGGGGGAACTCCGCGGTGGCGCGGCCGTGGTAGAGTTGGCGCCAGCACATGCTCCCCGCTCCCCCCTCATCCCGCTCGCCCACCCACCAACCCTTCCTCGCCGGCCCTCTTCCCGGCTTACACGGGGAGGATGAAACAGCTCCCGGGCCTCTGTCTCCGTTCGGTCTTCCTTCCCCCATAGAGTAATCATGTAGTCGTATGGACGAACCAAAACAAGGCTACCGCAGCGCTCGTGGCTGCCTCGGGTGCCATCCGAGGGAGTCACGCCCCTCCTCTTCTAGTGGCAAATAAAACCATCATTCTATTCGGGCAATATCAGGAAAGTCTTGGGACGTGCCAGGCCTAGCGATACCACGCTGCACCTACCCCCTTCGTGATCCTTCTTGTGCCGATATAGATGGATCTACACTCACTCGAACGATGGACGGGGCCGAACAGGATCTGGGCCGTGGAGACGCACTGGGTGGCGCCAGGTTTTGGTATATAGAGAGGGGTTAAACGCTTCTTCTGCTGCTGCCTGTTCGGCCGGGCCGTGGCGCGAAGCGGCGGCACCTGCCCCGCCACCCCTCGCGTACAACCAACAGATGTTGTGTATCCCCGTCCTTGCCTCCGTGCCTCGTGCTTCGTGGATGGCCTGCGTGTCCGACTACGGACAGATGAGCAAGGAGCTGTGAGACAGAGATGGGCCCCTCTCGCAGGGGTGGTGGCCAGAGCACATCCCAAGGCAAAAGGAGGAGGTGGAGTCTGTGACGCGCGTCAGAGCGATGCTACTGGAGCTTCAGGTTCTGGTGGATGGAGGATATATGACTTTTGGGGGGCGGCGGAGGAGGAGGGGTACCGGCGGTGGCGATGGATGGGGGTGGAGTGAAGGAGGGAGAGAGAGAGTGATAGCGAGAGGGGCTAGTCTGGGAGAGCGGCAGATTTCAGGCCAATGGGCAGAGCGTACGATGCTTGGTGAGGGATGCTATTGCGCTCCTGGGCGACGCACACGCCTCCCCCCTCCTCGCACCGGAGGTCGGGCAGTCCCATCTCCCGACTCTGGCTTCATCCTCTCACGACTGCTGATGAGGGACCGGAAGCACGGAGGAGGCATGGAGAGGGAAGTGGCCATAGGCCGCACGGGTGAGGCATATCTGACCACCCACCCGCCCTCGACGAGGCATCGCGTCTACTAGCATTACCGCCAGACATAGGCCGTGGACGCCCACAGGCTGTGCGGGGCGTTTGCAGCAGTCACACCCCCTCCCGCTCTTTCTCTCTCTCTCTCTCTCTTTTGTGTGAAAGATAGAGGCATGCAGACTAGCTACGACCGCCGACTTGTGCATGGTGCCTGGGAGTGGCATGCACATCAAGACGCGCAGATAGCTCCCCCAGGGGAGAATCCCACTGCGGCCTGTGCTGCCCTTGCCTCACAGGTAGAGATTTGCTACGGGACGTCGGAAGTAGCCACCGAGCTTGTATAGCGCACTCAACAAAGAGATTCTTCCGAGGGGTGCTGTAAAGAGGCATACACCAGCCCCTTGGTGACCAACAAGGCACCGAAGTAACAGTTCCCACCGTCGTACATGTCAGCAGGAATCCCCCCTGCCGCAAGACCCTCTAGCGGATTTGAGCAGACTATGGGTCGGGGAGGGGGCTAGTAGGCGAGTGCAGATTCAGGGGGAGCAGCTCAGGGGTCCAAGACCGAGTTTTTGCGCTTGGCCCGGCTGGACGGATCAGGATATCAACAGCATAGCGAGTTGAGTGTGAGAAGAGAAGGCGTGCATCGGCAGAATGCTCTATTCGCCATACCTAGTCTCCTTCACGTTTCCGCGCCCGACTGTGCAACCGCACGGACGACTCCTAGATGGGGGCTGCTTTTTCTTTTCTCCCAGCAGGAAATGGTGAGTGCCTCACTGATTGGCCGTAGGGGCATCGCGAAAGCCTCGTGCAATCAGCATTAGCCACGAATAAGGAGCGCGAGCTTCCCACGACAGCATCAGAAGGCGGCCGCAAAGCCCCCACAAAGCCTTGTGATTCCCACCCTCGTGCAGCCCCGAGACCAAGCGACTGGTGAGGTGGTCAAGACATCTCGGTCACGACGAAGCACCCGAGGGGGTCATCTCACGACCAGGTACGGCAGACCCACAGAGAGTGAGCGATATTGACACATGGAAATGGGAACGTTGGCGCTCGTCAACTCCTAGATCTAGGGATGCACAAGAGTGTGGCTGGTTATGCTGTTTTTAGGGTTGCGGGATGGCGATGGCGGCGGGTGGCTGAAGCCTTATCGCGTGGCCGTTCCTCAAAGACCCCGTGACTGCCGAACACCCCTGCCCAGAGAGCCAGCATCCGATGTAGTATACCTATCTCTCTAGGTAGCCAAGTCGGAGGCCGCATGGAGGAGCCATCAGTCGGTTGGATGTTTGCACGAACGCCCCTTGCGAATCCAACATGGGGTGGGTGGCTCAGATTCAAGGGAGCAACGAAGAAGAAGTGGAAAAAAAAGAGCCGCACGCCCTCACCTCTTCGCAGCTCCTCCTTATGGCAGCCATGGTGAGAAAAGAAAAACGCCACAGCGGGATGGATTTAGCCCCGGCAATCATCAGCCGCATGAGATGAGTTGGGGAGATTTCGCTGACGGTGAGCCGATCGGCCTGGGCCCCTTGGTGGCCAGACGGCGGCAGTTCTATTCAGAGAGAGCCGAGGAGTACGGATGAGCATGAGATGGCAAGCAGCAGTAGGCAGCAGCAAGCAGAACCGGCGGTCACTGTTTCGGAACCGAGCCTTTGATATGCAGAGGGAGATGAGCATCATCATCAAAAAAAAATCACAGGGACGACGCCGCAGAATAGGCAGCAGAATCGGACAAGATGCCGTTTAGGAAGAAGCTATCGCCGAGATGGTTCACCGCCAGGACTAGTAAAGAGTAGCTATAGTGATCGGGCTGGGGGCGGAGAGAGAGAGAGAGGCGCGGATAAGCTTAACGAGCAGACGAATGGGAGAGGGTGTCGTCGGCGGACGGCGTCTGGAGCGCTCCGACATGATACAGCAGCTCAGAAAAGGCGGGAAGGCGAAGTTGCGGATAAAGCACAAACCAGGAGTGTCCGGAGGAATAGCCTCAAGGAGATGGCGGTGCTTTCCCCCCAGGAGGTCGCACGCCCCCTCCCTCCCCTTCCCCATCCATCGCCCTCTCTCTCCTCCCCGGGACCTGGGATCGGGTTCTGCGGAGAGGAACAGGCTGGGCCGGGCGCCGGTGGAACGGGCGGGCATCCGCTCGGGTATCGCCAGGGGGGCGCGGCCCCCAACCGCGGCGGCCCAACGGTCGGCTCGGTCGCCTTCGCGCTGCCCTCGCGCCCGAGCTGCCGTCACACCAATCCGAGCGAGGGGGGTGGGGGAGTATGTGGGCATAGACAGAAAAGGGCCTTGCGACGCAAAAGGAGATGTGAGAGCGAGGATCAGCATCGCCGCTGGCTAGCTTGCTGACCCCCGCAAACCAAGACCCAGGAAACCTGCCAATCATTGTTTCGTTTCTGACGGGTACAATCCACACACATACACACACATGACCGAACACGCACACCCATTTTTTCGATGTCGCGAATCTGCGACATCCGGTTGGTGATGCTATTTCCAGGCCCAAGGCCCTAGGCTGCAATCTCGTGTCCTGCCTCACTCCAAGATTCACTCCATACACAAGCAGCGATCCACTAGAGGTACAACAAGCGGCGGCGGCGGCGGTGACGTCCTGGCACGAGATTTCTGGTGCTATGTTTGTTGTCTTGGCGGCGGGTGCAGCAGCAACAAGACACACAAAAAATACGGGTCGCCCCTTACTTTTTCTAGGTACCCGATGGGGGCTGACAGTGGGACACGCCTCTGTGCTGAGATAAGACGGCAGTCGTCGTGAGCTTTATGTTTACTGTACCGTGTGAGCTTGCCATGAGTCGAGCACAACAAACTACTGCAGCTGCGCCGCTCTGTGGGGTTCGACTTGTCCGATCTGGTGGACCACTTTCTTCCGACGGGGAGGGGGGGCTGGTATTTAGCCCACACAAGCCACACCCGCCCGCCCTAAAAGAGGCCAGCCATTCGACCATTCGTGATGATGAAGGGCCCATTCGGACGGAACGATATGTCCTGACCAAAGGGCTCCGCAAACCGCAAATCACCGCCGACGCTAAAAGTCCACACGAGCCCTGTTTTCTGGGGCCCAAAACTGCTAAATATAAACACAGGACGTGGACTGCGCTTAGCGTCGACGGGTCCTTGTCATTTCGCTCCCGGCGCCGATGAGCCGGTTGGATGTTTGCTTGCTTACACCCTGCGGACCCATCAAAGAATCGAGTCCCACCCGGGACCTACCTACCTACCCTTCTCTACTTGTGCTTATGTAGACATGCAGAGACGACAAAATTAAGAGCAACAGACACAGCAGGAAGGGCCCACGGGATGGATCGGAGGCTGGCCGGAAACGAGAGATAACCCTGTCGTGTCTGCGATGTGTATATCGGCGACTTTCCCTGGTTGGGACAGGCCCCCGAAAGGGCTTCCCTGAAGCGGTGGCACACGTCAACTTGGGCCAAGCTTGGCTGGGGAGGTGCACGCAAAAAGAAAGAAGAAAACGCTATCGGGGGGGCACCAGGTCTTGGAGGCTCAAGATTGGGCCAGCTTCTCTGCCGCATTCCGTATCCTACCCTCCGTAACAGCGACAAGGGGAGGGAGTGAGCGAGAGAGTATAGACAAATCTCCGGAGCCTCTCCCGGGCCGCTGTTGGTGGTCTGATGGGGGGTCCTGTCAGTTTCCAGAAATTGACGGCTTTTTTTTTTTTCACACGCCTTTAGTCCACTACACAGTACAAGCCAACCTCTAACAACAGGGGATGTGACGAAGGAAAGTAAGAAAAAAAGGAGACGTAAATGAATGAAAGAAAAAAAGAAAAAAAGACGGCATGACAGCCCAGAACCGGGACGACACATGGACACTGTGCATCCCAAGCTCACGACTATGTTACCCGAGCCAGCGTGCCGGCCTACCCTGCAGCCACCCTCTCCCCCTCCTCTCTCTCTCTCTCTCTCTCTGCAACCCTCCCCCCTCCCTCCCTCGTACACCCGCCAGCCGGCGGCCGGACGACGACACGGTGACCAACCAAGGACCACACTGCCCAGACTACCCTCTCCCAGGAGGTGCGGCAGGCCGCACCGGTGACGTTTCGTAAGGCTGAGTCGGCGGAAGAACGCTACCGGATTAGGCGGAAACAGGCGAGACCGCGGCCTTTCTGTCTGGTTTATATTGCCCACCCTGCGCCGAAGGTGTGCTTTATATGCACCATACCGGGTCACCCTGGCCCACCACCACCGCCGCTGCGGCACCTACATTGGAAAGCTGCTGCTTGCTGCTGGCTGTCACCACACACCTTACGCACCTTTTCCTCTCCCCTCTCCCCACACCCAAAGTTTTTGTCGGCCCCAAGCTTGGCTTGGCTTGGCTTGCGTATCTAGGGGGTGGGAGTGGTCTGCATTTTTTTGGGCTCTTTCAACCGGTAGGCAAGAGGACAGAGTGGTCCAGAGGACGCGTGCATGGTAAAAGAAAGAAAGAAAAAAATTTGCCCGGCCGGCCACACACCTACCTTCTCGGGCCTCGGCGCTAAGCGCGTGCGCAAGTAGAGGCAAACCCGAGCCAATCCCTGCCCGGAAGCCGGCTTGGTGTGTGCTGGTAAACATCTCAGAACAGCGAAACCTGTCCCCCCCCCCCCCCCCTGACCCGGCTTCACGGCAAAGGCCACCGATTTTCATACCGCGTAAGGAAGTTGCCCGTCGCGTGGCCGCCGATAAGGGACGAGGTGTGAAGGTGCCACGTTACGGTGACGGATATCTCGGGCTAGGCCATGTCGTTTTTCTTCCCCCCTTTTCGGGTTGCTGGCTCGCTCACCTGCCTCTGCCCTTTCGGCCCAATCCCGGCCGCGCCGGCGGGGGGGGTTTTGCGAATCCAAGGACCGAGACCCCGTGCCCGCGAATATGCCACAAGACCGCTGACTAGCCTTTTTTTTCTTTTTTTTTTTTGTGCGGCACAGCAACCCGCGCCCCGTATCGCCGTCCACTCCCCCCTCCAGAGCTGCACTGCACTTTTTCTTTCTTCTTTCCCCTCGTGAGTGGAGCAAAGGGTTGAAAGCCAAGACGGAGCGGTTCGTGTCCGCCATCCCCACACGACCGGGGGCACGTATACAGAAAGATTCATTGATTCTAGGTGATGGGGATATGCGATGTGACGCCCGCTTACACCACGCAACCACCTGTACAAAAAGTGCCCTTTCTTCTTCTTCAGTCTTGCGCTTCTGGTTGGCCAGCCAAGGTCATCATGTAAGGCCCAGGCCGGTCCCTCCTCTCTCTTTCTCTGCAAAGTCGGGCACAGAAGAAAAAAATGGGAAGGCTGGGCTGTGAGCTTTGCAGGAGACAGATGGTCAGAAATGAAGACGAAGAAAAAAAAGGACGTATCAGGCTCGTCTTGGAGCCAGTAAAGTCAAGCTCCCGCTTTGCGCACTCGACCTTCCATGTGTCCAACGGGATCCTGCGTAAGCCGGGAGGGGCGCTGCCGTCGCGGATAGCCGATCGGGCCAGCGAGAGATATGTCTGTCAGAGAGAAAAGGAGGGCCCCTTATCCGACATGCATCGGGCTGGCAATCAACCGGCGGGTGGGCGTGTCATTCTTTTGTCCCACATCGTTTTTATCTTTCTTTTTTTTTCTTTTCAGCTCGAGGAGAATCATGAGGTGATTGACACAAAAGGCAAGGGGGTGGAGTGTTCGATGTGGGCTGCCACACGTGGGGGCTGAAAAGATGCTCAGAAAAAAAAAACCAAGGGGAGGTGGGGGGACTGGTTGGGGTTGCACAAAGCCAGATGGCGGCGGTACCGCGATGCTCTAACAGCTGCGAGCCCGCTGGGGCTGCGGGAGCTGATAGTGCGGTACGACAAAATCGAACCCTCCCGCCAGCCAGCCGGCGGTGAATGTATGGTGGGGAACACCTACAGTACCCAGCGCAACCGCACAGTGGCATCAAGAGGTGCAGCGCACTGCTGTGCACCCCGAGAAGAGGGCGCCCCGCTCTGTGGGCTCTGTGAACCCCGCGTGCACCACATGGATGGTGTTGCTGCTGCCCCAGCACAGGTCCCTTTTTTCCCCTCGATTTTATATGGGATTCCTCGGACTCTGACCAGTAAAACAAAAGTAAAAGACGAATGGGGGTAGGTTGTGAAAAACGATGCAAAAATTACAGTGTCTTTGACCATGACGGCTGTGGTCGGTCTGCAAACACACCAAGGCTGGACGTCTTGCTCAAAGCAACCAAAAACGCGCCGCAGACACGCACTTGGAAATTGCCATTCACCTGTAGAGGTGTACTGTGTACTGTGTACACAGCAGAGGTGGTGGCGATTGCTTCTTGCACAGAGAAAATAACACATCTACCCTCAAAGACATAGACCAACATACATGGCCGCCATCCGTCGTCGGATCATCACCACCCATCGCTTTTGCAATGGCACCTTGGGCATTTAAGCGCGCCCGCAGGATTAAACGCTCAACAACCCAGGATTCGAGAAGACGGCAACGCGGACCACGGGCGGACCCAAGGTAAGGTAAGGCAATCACCCGGATGACTGCATGCGTGTGAAGTGTGCCCTCCAAGGTGCATCGCCTGTGGCGATCCGGGTAGGTACTGTACCGCGTTGAGACAGATAAGATACCAGACAAGTTCGGACTTGGGGAATCGACAGAATCCGAGCATCTGCCTACTGCCTACATTTGGATCATGGCATTGGCTTGTAAACGGATACAAATTTCGGCTGGACAAACCCTCAACCTCCTCTGCACCACCACCACCCCGCCAACACTTACAGCACCCCATGCCCCATCCATTCGATACCATGAGAGATTTGTGGCAAGGTCCTGAGCACTTTGGCAGGAAATTCGTTTCCCGCCTTGGTTTCACAATACCCGGGTGGTGGTGGTCGGTGCCTCCCTGCCGGGGAAGCCTACCAGGGTTTTTTGGTGCCGCGCCCGTCAGCACAGAAGAAATGCGGGACTTTCAAGCCTACATGGCAGCCCCGAAGGGTGCCCCCTCTACTCTCCTCCATGTGAGCAGTGGCCCCGTCAATGTCGTGGGGTGTCTGTCGGTGACTTGCACAGCCGAAAACGGCAACTCGCCGCTTGGGTGGGGACGACATGGGTGGAATTTATGAGCAAAAAGGTAAGAACAGACGAATGATGGGGCCCGGCTTTAAAGCACTCTCCAGGGAAATAAGGAAAAAAGACCAAGGACGGTCAATGCAAAAGAAAGAAAGAAGAAGAAAAAAAATCCGAGGCAGAGCAGGAACCACCGTGCCGGAGAAGGGGGCGCTAATCGGACGCTTCAATTCGAACCAGGTCCGCGGCGTCGGGTAGCAGAACATTCTCTGGAAGAACTTCCGGGCTACCCAGCCTTGTGTGCCCGGAAACTGGGCAATCCGGGCCTTGGGGACGAAGAGGGAGGGTAGACAGGCAGTCAGTCAGTCAGGCAGCCAGGCAAAAAAGGATCACGCCTCGTGCTTCACCGCGGGAGCCCCCCCAATCGGAAGAATTCAATATCGCAAAAAGGGGCCCCGCTTGGGATGATCAGGGGTGTGTGCGTGTGTGCAGCAGCGGGGGGGTTAGCCTGGTCCACTCGATTGATGAGTTCTTGCCTGTGGAGCCAAACCAGTGACCCCCCCCTTGCAGTGGACCCAGCGGGTGTGCGACGGGAGGATGGATTCTTTTTTGTTGGAGCTCCCTAGCACGCTTCTTTCTTCCCTTCTCCACCGTCGTTAGCGAACCGCCTTCGATTTGCCAGTTGTGGCGCCGGAGAAAGGCGCGCCAACCTCTACCAGGCTGGTGGCCCTGCCTCCAACACTGTGCGAAAGGGGTGAGCAAACGAGTGAGCCCAAAAAGATTTGCGGAGTCGATGCGGCATGGTAGCACAGGGTCGATAAAGAAGCGAATGGAGGGCAATGCGAGCTTGTTCAAACTGCAACACCACCACCACACCCACCCCTTGTCCCTGCTGAATGGGTTCTTTTTTCTCTCCCTGCAGGACATCCGATCAGGACGATGACGCCCAGTTCCCGACGTGTCCGCGCGCCCAAGGAAGGAGGGGTTTTGCTGTTGCTGTCGAGGTTGGGTTGACTGCCAACAACACGCGCCTCCCCCTCCGGAACCCCACTGCGCGCATCTGCATCTCCCTCGGGTAGCATCCATCGTCGCGAACGAAGGAGGGCGATCCGACGCCACCATTGGCGCCGCCGGCGTCTAGGCGTGTGGTCCGTTGGCAGTGGCCTCGTCTGAAGCCCTTCCTCCTCGATCGCAGCTAGATAGAATGATGGGCGCGGGTCGCGATTGGCCAGAATAGGCGCCAGCAGAACCGATTGTCTCGTCAGGAGCCTGTACGGATGGCATCTCCTGTCGTCTGGGTGATGTGTGCAGAGTTCTAGGTTGGGAGGGGTATGTGTGTGTGTGCGGGCGGTATTACCACCGCCCTGAGGCGAACTGATGAGACTAGACGCGCTTTGCCGGCCCAACACGCGCGCCGAGCCATGGGCGGCGAATTGGAGGAGCGTCGACCTCCTCGAAGAGGAAAACTGGTGCGGTTTCTGGCGAGGGCTGTTGAGGGACCGGTGACAAGGGTGAGCAGCAGCTCGAGAGATGGACTGGGACGTTACAATCTTGGATTCCGCCACCTCTCTCTCTCTCCCTCCCAGCGCAACAAAGCGGCCGCCAACCCTAATGACATGCTCCGCGCCTACATGAACAGGAGACCCGTGCCCAGTGGTGTTCCGGGCTTCCGACCCACCCCTTTCCGATTCTTTGACCCTTGCTCACACTCACCTTGTTGGGTGGGTGGTAACGCTGGGGGAGAGAGGGGAGCAGCTCAGCTAGGCAACAGTGAAAAGAGAGGTTAAGTCCGAGGCGGGAACTTGGAAACAAACCGCTGTCGATTGCTGTGCCGCTTCCGAGTTGCAACACACCACGGCAACCCAGCGAGCCATGTGAGTGGTCGGGCGTCAGGCAAAAATGGTTGCTCCGATCGCGCCGGCACGGGCGAAACGAGGCTCGATTTGCGATGAGATGCTGCGGGAGCCGCGTTCATTTCCTTTTTTTTTTTTTTCTCTCTCTCTCTCTCTCTGCCGCTGCTTGTCGACGAGAAAAGGACTCCCATTACAAACATCGGGCGCCGGCCCCGCGAATTGTTCACCTGTGATGCGATCCTTGGCCCGCTGGTTCAATGTCGGCAAAAGATTAGCAGGTGCCCGGAATAGCAACAGCCCTGGGTGGGTGGCCTAAGGGCGGCCCCAGGGCAAGGGCAGGGCAGGGAGGGAACGTGGCCTTGCCTTAGGATGAGAGGATCAGGTTTACAATCACGTTGGGAAAAAGTCCGTGACGTAAACGGACTTTTCTCCCCACCACTCAACCTCTTGTGAGGACGGTTCGACAAGAAGACGGTGCATTCGCTGCGGGCCCGCGGGAAGAACGTGACATTCCCGGCCCTGTGTGTGTGTGTGTGCGTGCACCCCCAACATGGACGTGACCGGATCGGGAAATTCGTAAAGAAGCCCAAGATTTCTCGACGGAACCTCGACCGAGAAATGGGTTCGTTTCCGGAAACAAAAAAGAAACAACCCAACCCAACGGTGGGCGGTCAGGCCACTACCCGGACGGGACGGGAAGCTGGAGGAGAAATAACCTTTTCACCGCGCTGATGATCCATGGAGCGTGATAATCGCGGCAGTCGCGCCTTGTTGCATGGCCTGTCCCAAATCCTCCCGCTCCGGGTGGCGGTCCTCGCCGGGGGTGGAAGAGACGGCACACACACCAGGCCATGGATGACGAGGGAGGGCCATTCCATCCCGTCCATATCAGACTGACCTTTTTTCCTTTTCTTTTTTCCTTTTCTTTTGGTGGTCGCTTGCAAAATGTACAGGAGGCCCTGGCGGTTGTTTTTCCCTTTCCCAACGGCATCAGCCCTGCTCCCCGGTCGAGCTAATCAGAAACGCGCCAGCTCGTCACCATCACCAAGCATTAAGGGCCTTCATTTGGGGGACAAGGCAGCACTCGCTCCCGGTATCCCCGGTGAATATCACGCGTTACGGCGCTCCCGCGGGGCCAGCCCCACTGGTCAAACAAGAGAAATCTTCGAGAAGTGCTGTCGGTTCCGCAGGGGTGGGTCTGGTTTAGGGTCACCTCTCACTTTTTGTTTGTCATTTCTTTGCCGAAAGCTAGGGATTTCTTTTCTCCCCCTTCTTTAAATTTTTTTTTTTATTACTTGTCACTCGCTGTCCTGTGCTTCGCCTACTAGTACAGGAAAGTAGGATATTGAACGTTACGCTGTGGGTCTGGTCAGCAAGGGTATAAGCAAGGGGGGGTAGGGGTACACAGCGTGCCACACAATACGTAGTAGAAATCAATGTACTGTAGGGCGCCCAACGCGTGCGCCGCATCCGGCCGGGCGTGCAATTGAGAAGGCATTGAATTGAAGGTATCGCGGTGCAGATTGGTGTACGCGTTGCCCGATTGCATGCGTTGATATCTGCGTTCTGGCAAATGGAGGTGTGGGTAGCGATACATCGGTTTGGTGGGGTTTTCTATGGGGAAAAATGTAGTTGGGACGTGGCCTAATTCGGAAGGATCTGCGGGTCATAACGTTTAATATCCTACTTTTCTGTCGTAAGCGGCCGCGACAGGGGGCCGGGGGCTACCGCGGGCAATATCGGAGGACTGTTATAATGGCACGAGTATAATTTTGGCCCGGATTTTGAGGCAGGGAGCAGCGCTGCTGTTGCAACGAACCCCCCCTCCTCCCCCAGACAGAGCAAGAGTGCGCGCGCGCCGGTCCCGAACGCCAGGTCCCCAAAACGACGAACACCCAAGAGAACCTGGACTCATTTCGTGGTCCGCATCGGGACCCCGCCCCCCATCTTGCGCGATGGGTACGCCGCACCATTGACATTGGCAGGCGTCGGGGAGGGTTTTTGCAAATGAAAGACAATGCAGCGGGTGAAGAGCCAAGAAGGGGGCAACGATCGTCCCCCAACCAACTCATCCCCGTCCAGACGAGAGAGTGGACGGGAGACGAAATCACGCGAGGTACAGTCAGGCCCGAGAATGGTAGAGAAAGCAGCATAAAATAGCCTCCCGGCCATGGTTGGTGGGCGAACGATGGGGCCCCCGTCAGTCTCACAGCCCCTTCTCCCCCTCTCTCGCCCGCTTCGCCGTGACGTTGGGTATGATGCGATGGATGACGGCTGTAGTGGCGGGTTTTTTTTTTTGGGCCACTCGGCCGTCGGAGCTTGGGCTCCATGGCTGGGGCTGCGAACCAAACCGGCGCGCTCGGCGGAAAGAAAGCACGTTCGGGGCTAAGGTCCAGAGCCAGCTCTCGTTTTTCTGGGGCCGGCCAATTAGGGTCGAGGGGGGCACGGCTGTATTTTGTGGAGGTGGGTTGTGGTGGTGGCCCATTTGTGCGTACCGCACACAGTACGTGGTGTTTACTACGGGACCACCCCGTTTTTTTTTTGTTGCTGCTGCCAAAAATGCCTAACTGTGAGCGACCAAACAACGAGGCCAGACACCAAGCAAAAAAGACCAGTAGCGATAGCAGCAGTAGCAGCAGCACCGCCTCCCTGCAGCCGAAAATGAAACCCAGGGGTGGGCTGCTGCTCTGCTTTTGGCAGACGGGAGGCGGGTTTGTTTGTTTTGGCCGCGCTGCCTACGCTTATTGGGCGTCGAGGATGACGGCCAAATCTCCCAGCCTGCTATTTCGCACTCGCATCTGACCTCGATCCCCGACAGGCGCGCGGGGGCAAGGGGTGGGAGTGAGCGCTGGGGGGTTGGACAAGGTCCGAGGAAGAGGGTGTCGAGATGAGTGGGTAGAGGGGAGGGCTCAGAGCGGTTTCCTTGCATGGAATCTCGCGGCGGTAGGGCTCATCACGTCTCGATTGCGACGTCGAGCCAAGGGGAGAAGGGGCAAACGGTTGCGAACAACGGAGAGGAGAGCCGATGGTGGCATGTGGGAAGGTGGATGTAGCTTCCACAGGGATGGGGCGCCATGCTTTCCAGCCCTTCCCTTGAGAGACAATCCGGGATAGGTATTCCCTCCAAATCACATGGAGATCGTCATGGCGCTCCCACCACGTCGGGCTGGCGGCGGCTATTCATCCAGTCGAAGCTATTGTGGCGTTCACCAAGCCACCCACGATGCATGCAGTCAGTGAGGGGTAAAAGATGAAGGAAAAAATAGATGAAAAAAAAGTAAACAACACAAAAAAAAAAGCAAAAATGCCTAACGCCTCCGGGTGAGCCTTGTGCATAGTACAGCCGTAGTGTACCAGGCAAGGCACATGGTGCATCGAGTCTAGGTAGGGTTCTGCGGCCGCTTTTCAAGGCCACCAGGAACGGGATTGACGGCAGGACCTCGAGCCTAAGCCTCAGCTGGTACCCGCCGGTGCAGCAAAATGCTACATGGCGGGGGGTAAAGGGCTAGCCCTGACCGTCATGACACTCCAGCACTCCATCGAGGTGCAGCCGCAATCAAAGAGCCGGTGTTCGCGATGGGAGTGGGGGATAGAGTTTGGAGCATGTTTGTGATAGCCGACGACTATTTCCAGCAACTCGGCAGTAGCGCAAAGGTTGTTGGCGTAGGTGGGCATGCTGTTGCGTCCATGCTCGGCCGCAGGGCAGGAAAGCCCATGAGGGTTTCGGATAAAAAACGAGATGAGAGAGCGGTCCTGCCACTTTACTGTGGCTGCGGCCTGGGATGATGAGGGTGATCTGGGTCAGTCTGGCTTGGGTAGCCCCCCGCAAGCATGATGCCGGCACCTGGTCGGCTTTCTCAGCTTGGTAGGTACACGATGCAAGGCCAGCGTAGTCCGGCGAGAGGTTACATGCCATGCCATGCCATGCCATACCCCGTCGTCGACGCGTGCCATCCATGGCTACTAATAGACCATGGTTTTTTTTTCTCGTGCCTCGTGCCTTGCTCCGTCATCCACGGCCGTCGATTGCCGGTGCTCGCTTGCTCGACCAACCCCAAGGGCCCCAAACTGAATCAAGGCGACAGTCGGCAATCCTAACTAGAACCGGACAAGGAGGCAGCCCTGCTTGCATAGAACCTCACCCCTCCATTGACAGGGCATGACAGGGATTGCGATCCTTCATGGGTGCTGGTAAATCACCGTTGTCGAGACTTTCCACGAGCCCCGTCGACGCTGGAGCAAAACGTGCCCGCGGCGCGACGAGGTGCCTGGAAGCGTTGAAACCCCGCCCTTTCTGCCCACCACCGTGCACCACCAGATCTTGACATTTGGCAACGAGCGAGCTGCCGAATCCATCTCGCGCGTTTGCCGTCGTGCCATCGTTGTCGGAGGCACGCGCGCCTTTTTTGCTCATTGACGTCGAAACTCCCTCGCTGAAGCTAAAGCTGGAATAGCACGGCCCCATCCATGGTCGTCGCGTGTGAAAACTAGCAGCACAGTGACCCATGCATATCGCTGCTCGCGACCTGCCAGGTGGGCGTCGACACCTAGAAAAAAAAGAGAGGACAGACGGCTGCTCGCCGTGGTGGGTTTATCCCCAGGGAAAATCTCCAGTGATCACCGCGCAAAGACCCCCAGCCCAGGTCATAAAGTCGCTTATCCCCCACCCGTGTCGGACGCGGGCTCCGACCGGTATCCTCTTTGGATGGCACAACGAGGATGCTATCGTTGGATGGATGCGGCAGAGGCTGGAACGCTGGTAGTGAAGGGACAGTGCGCCTGCCTGGGGGTGTGGGTGGCCGTGTGTCTGTTCCCAGCGCTCCCAGTGCTAATTCCAGGGCGTGCAGCACAAAAAGACAAAAAGTCATCAAGGCAGGCGCCGCACCGCTGGGCACCTGGGCCGCACCTGCCTGCGAACCTGCACCCGCAACAAACCGCACTGCTCTACACTGTACAGTGAATGAAACCTGACAGTTCCCCGGCTGAGGGTCCCATTTGCTGGTGGCCTTTCGCCGGGGCCCCACCCTGCCCGCAGCCACAGCCAAGCGCAGTGATTCGTCCCGCCACACAGGGGAGGGTACCAGTTTGTTTCCGTCAGAAATTACTGTTCCCAAGCGCAAAGTCGCACCAGGCCTAGCGCCCGCCAGACTTTCCCTCGACAAAATGTTGATTTTACCGCACAGATCTAGACGCTGACACTGAACACTGAACACTGAACACTAAACACTGAACGCTGAACACTGAACTGATCCCGATGCCCTACCCACGCTGCCGCCCCTTTTGGGGTTCTGGCAAGGAAACCCTCCACGGTTGCGCCTACACATATCAATCATCCCAGTCTCTTCTTCACTCTTGTTGATTCCTAACCTAAGCTAATGGTCAAACGGCTGGGCCTAACCGTGGCCACCTACCACGGCTTTTGGCCTATTACTACAACCGTCTTCTCGGGGCTTGCCTGCCTGCCTCCCTGCCTGTCTGGCCGCTGCGTTTCCCCAGACTCAAACGGCAAACGGCCAGCAGAGTCGCCTGTAGTAAGAGGCGTCCGATCTCACAGCCGCCAGAGTAAACCTGCTGGCTGGCTTCTGGCTGGCTGGCTGGCTGGCTGGCTGGCTGGCTGGCTGCTGTGCCCGCGCCACGCCACGGGCCCTTTGGGCCGACCCCAACCCTGGCTGGCTTTTTCAGCACGCGGCACCTTGACGGTTCAAGACGCTGCTCGCCAGGATGGAATGGGCCACCACCGTTGACCTGGCATGCACACACCCTGCAATCCTTGCCGCCTGGGGTGTGGCGGGGTGTATGGTTGGAAACAAAAAAAAATCACCATTCACTCCGCCCACGCCCTCCCCCTCCCCCCCCCCAACGCCGCTCCACACCCCTGCCTGCTCTTTCTCTTCAGTCTCACACCCCGTCATACATACCTCCCGTCCCACCCATCAGGAAGACCGGGCCCTGAGGTGTATCTCTTCCACCGACTGGGGTAAGTACCGCTGTGTCAAGTCTAGGTACGCCGGTACCTGTCTGCCCACAGCTAGCCCGATATCCATCCGGGAAGTTTTCTGTCTTGATAAAACCCTGCCTGGCCCATCTTCAACAGGCCCTCTCTCCTTTGAGGCTGAGAAGCTTTCAAGTCTCACCCCCCTTTTACTGTCACCCTCTCGAGCTCCCTGCTCTCCATATTTACCATCGTCCATCAACGCCTGGTTGATATATACCTCGAGTCCCGCCTCGACCTCTCTCACCCGTGGGTGACCTGTCTGGATCTCGATAGCCACAAACCAGCATCAGCATCAGCATTCCCTCCGCCTTCGTCCCAAGCACACCAGGCCAGCTCCATCATCTCTGTGTTCTTTCTTATATACGCCACACCCCGGAATCAGAGTGAACCAGCAACTTCGGTGTCCGGTCGCCTCAAACCCAACTCGCCCGAATAAAAAACCAGCTTGCACCCGTATGTGCCACCCATCTGTTCCATCACCGAGCAGTTCCATATTTCTTTTTGTCCCTTTCCACCATGGATTCCCTCCTCTCCTCAGATAGCCCCTTCGAGGACTCTCGCTCACTCACGACTAGATCCCGAGCAAGCAGCGGAGTGTCCTCGACCCAGAGCCTCTTTAACGACTTGCAGCTAGTGGCCTCTTCCCCTGGTTCCTCGCTTGAGCCTAGCCTGTCGACGCTGTCGCGAAGACTAGCAGCCCGCTCACCATACGACAATCCCGTGGCTGCCCACCAGGGTCTCGTGCGAAACCCGGTGTCCCAGTCGACCACTTCGACCTTTCCGCACCTGCCTGAGGTCCTCTTGAGCGCTGGCTGGTTCAACGTCGACACGTCGGCGCCACCAACTCAAGACCCGCCGCTGCTGAGGGTGGATTCTGTAGAGGACTGCTCTCAACCACCCCGGACAGCCTCCTCATCAATACCGACCCCGCAATCCGCCAACATGAGGTGAGTCTTGAGCTCTTCAACACTACGTCTTGCATTCGTGTGCCAGCTGCTAACAACCCTCAACAGCGCCGTCGCCACATTAAACTTTGACCCCGTGTTCAGCATGGGAAACAGGTCGTCTTACGGCTGGCCTGGTAAGTCTTCTGATCTCGCAGTTGCCCACCCGACCCAGACGGGTTTGCTGACCGTGTCTTTGATAGTTCTTGACTCTGGAAACAACAACGGTCTTCTAGGTCACGACCTCAGCTCCTATGGATCCGAGGCCAGTCTCACCCCTCCCAGTGGAACTAGCTCAGTGACTGCCAGCCCTCCGCGGAACATGTCGGCAGAGCAGCGCGAGCTTAGGCGACAGAGGGACCAGGCCCGCCGCGACACCAAGAAGGCGGTCCGCATCCGAAGGGCAACTGGCAGCAGCTATGGAGGCTCGCCGCCCGTCAGCATGGTCGATATGGCCTCGCCCACGAACCTTCCCGTCTACACCACCGGCCCGACCCAGATCTCTCTCCTGACCGAGCCGACAACCCTGGCTTCCACCTCGTCTTACAGCATGCCGACGTACGCGACCTCGCTGCCCACGGACCCGCAGACCCAGCCCCTGTTCTCCGCGCCCTACCAGCCGCACACCTCCTACCTGGGAGAATACCAGCCCGCGTACACGACGACACCGCCTAGTCTGCCATCACAATACGGGTTAGAAGACCCCTTTCAGCTCCAGGACGACTACTCACAGGCCAGCCTGCTAACTCTTTCCAACAGCCGCACCGCCATGTCCCACGACCAGCAAAGCATGATGTACTCGACCATGCCCGTCATGGGTGGCGGCCCAGGGGCCATGGTGCCGCCAGCGCCTTCTTCAGCCTCGTCACCGCCCCACAGCCACCACGAGGCGGGCGGCAACGTGAGGGTTGTTGGCGGCCGGCCCAAGCCGCAATGCTGGGAGCACGGATGCAACGGACGCCAGTTCTCCACCTTCAGCAACCTTTTGAGGCACCAGCGCGAGAAGTCGGGCCAGGCGGCCAAGGCAGTCTGCCCCAACTGCGGTGCAGAGTTCACCAGGACTACGGCGAGGAACGGACATCTGCAACACGACAAGTGCAAGCAGCGCCGCAGCACATGAAGGACGTATCGATGGACACCAAAAGGAAAGGAAAAAAAATCAAAGAGAAAAAACATTAAAAAAAAAAGAGCGAAAAAAAAGAGCGAAAGAAAAAGAGCGGATATACCAAAGAGCTTGGGCAATCTTTTTTTCTACCACCATTCGATTTCTATACCCATTTCACATACCCCCTTCAAAGCGAGCGTTGTGTCGAAGACGCACCGACTTTGATCCCACCTCTCCCTTTTGCCTTTTTTTTTTCGTCAAGGCTCAAAACTTTGGTTAGAAACCTTGGGCGGAGAATCCCCATGGAACGACGGGATATGAGGCGTTTTTTTTTTACCCCCGGTACTTTCGAGTTGACATTTGGTTTACTTCTTTTTCTGGCACTCTTTTCCCACGAGGGAAGACGCCAACACTAGGGAAATGGATTTGGAAATTCTTTGCTAGGAGGTTGATACCACAGAACGCAGGGTTCAGTACATATTTTTTTTTAACATTTTAAGCGGCTTTCTTCCTTTACTTCTCCTGCCCTCATATTTTCTCTTTCCTTGTTTGACTTTCTAATCCTCCGTTCTCGCTTCCGTTGGATACCTACATGTTGATACATTCGAGCAAATCTTGTTCTCTTCAGCTGCAAAAGAAATTCATAAGGTGATTTCGGATAACCCGCTGAATCTATCGTGTATTCGCTAGCATGTACATAAGCTTTGTCTATTTTGAGCTAGATGGCGGCAAAGAAATTGCTGTGTTACCATGAATGAAACCCTGCATATTGTTTCGAATCAGCAAAATGCGGCTGCCTAACAAGACCGATCAGGATATGCGTGTTCACACGACAGACGTCGCTGCTGCAAGCAAGTCCGATAGGCATAAATCCGAGAGCCGACGGGCTTTTTTTTTCTTTCTTTTTTTCTTTTCTTTTTTTTCTTTCTTTTTTTTCTTTCTTTTTTTTTTTTTTGCGCGATCGTTTGCCAAAAACAGTCTGATGTTTTTTTCTTCTTTTTGCATAGCCGGAATGTTCCACGTCAGAAGCGCGAGAGTCTTGCTAAGCGCAGACGCCCAAGCCGCCACCGGTATTACTCTGCGCATAAAACCTTGATTTTGGGTTCTTTTTCGTCACGGAAGCCGCCCGGAGCTGAGTGGTGGCGAGCCCGACGGGCTGGAAGCTAGCATTAGCAGAGAGCTCCGCCGCCTTCTTACTGTGCCCGCTGGGCCGGCTGACGGGTTTTTTGGTCACAAAGTACCCCCTGCACACATGGGGGGGATGTGTGTGCATTACACAATAGCTCTCTACCTTTTTCTCATTCTCTAGCTCTGGCACACACCTATCCCAGGTGGCGGGCCGCGGGTCCGGACAAGAGGGAACGACAGTGGACTGCGCTCTGCTGATGTCCAGGGTGTAGGGTGTAGGGTGGTAGGCGATGGGACGAGAAAGGTTGACGACTGACACATTTTTGTTGGCACGAGTCCTAGGTACCTAGCCTGGGTTGGAGCTCTCGGCGGATGGGGCCGCACGCGAGCACGCACGCACACGTACATGCACACCGAGACTCGGCCGATCTGGATGTATACCTACCTGCCTGCCTACCCTATCTCCCCCTCCCTTTCGTATCTACATCTTGGGGCGGGGCAATATTGAAGAAGAGGTTTCCCCGGGACAAGGGGGGCCGGCCACAACGCACCCTTGGGTTTTTGACGGATGGGGCCGGGCTAGCTGCCTGCCTGCCTGTCGGTCGAGTTGCCGGGCGTGGATTCTGTCCAAGGCGGCGGAGACGAACGGACGATTTTTTTTTTTTTTTTTTGCGTGCATCTTGACGATGATGATGGTGGAAAGGCTTGGGGGTGTGTGGTGGCATGGGACGGACGGGAACCTGGATCTTCGTCCCATCGACAGACTACACTAAACAAACACCCCCCCGGGCTCCGCTCTCGCTCACTCTTGCCTATACTCAACTCGGTCTGCCTGTCTGGTGAGCTTGGGCCCGGGCTGGGTTCGTGTGGTCTCCACCGTCCAGGCCGGGTTGGCCCTTGGGGTCATGAGGGGGGATTCACACAAGCCGAACGAAAGGGAAAACGAGACGACATGAGATGAAGAGAGCAAAAAAAAGGGTGGCAGGCGGTTTGGGTCTAGCGCCAAGGTGATCTAGTCTGTTTTCGGGAAGCGTTGCAGGGCCCCCCCCGCCCATCAACACACCGCCCGCCCAGCGGAAAAGAAGCAAAATGGGGACATAGCCCCACCGACACAAAAATAGAAACTTGGCCCTCAGCTAGCAACCTGCAAGGCCAGACCCGGAAGTGGAGAAGGCGTGGAACTTTGGGACGCTTCTCCACAACGTGGTGACATCAAATCTTGGGCCAGACTTTTTTTTCCCAAGCCGACTTCTCATTTTTCCTTTTGCCTTTATCCCCTTTGGGTGTGTTATTGAGATGGTGAACTTGGGGTTGTCTACAGCGAGGTTAGGGGGGGGGGGGGTTGACACAGATCCCGGCAACAGCAGCTAGTCGAGCAAAACTGCACCACTGCTCCAGGGGTTTGCCGTGCCCGGAGATGGGAAACACACCGGTCCCAGCCGCCGAACGGGGCGCCTCCCCCCTCTCCTCCCTTGACGCGCCTGAGCACGATCTGCTTTCCTGGTCGGGTACACCTACCCGAGAGCAGGGCAGGGCCGCTCGCGCGAGTTTCCCGACTAGCACGCGGCCGTGGCTGTGTGCGACGATTGCGCGTGACGACACGACACGACACGACACGACACGACATGGCAACCCGGGAACTTGCTTTTTTTTTTCCCCTTTTACTTTTAACTGCGGCTGAACTGACGGTCCGACTTATCGCGGGAGCGGCAACGCAACCCTAGTGGCCGATAATTTTGACAACAGGCCATGAAGGACGAAGAGGAGCCCACTAGGGATGGATGGATGGGAGCCCCCGGGGGGAAGAGATCTTCCCGTCGTTTGTGCTGCGCCGCGTCAATCGGGGCAGGGGCAATCTATGATCGACGTGGCTCTCAGAAGAGCGACGGGGGTGGGAATTCAACGGCTGAGATGTGCTGACTGGAAGAAGAGACAGAAACAAAGAAGAGAAGGGGAAAAAAACGCCTTATCTCGGCTGAAGAAAAAAAAGCACTGCCGGAACTCGGGGCTGGGGTGAGGTTTTGGTTGGTTGGAGGCCAAAAAAAGAACGAGCATGGCCGCCTTGGGTCACGTCATGACCACTGGCGGATAAGAAGGCTTCAATGCTTGCATCAACCCAACCAAGCCAGCGGGTCTATTCTGCCTTTGGGGGCCGCATGAAATCGAGGTTTGCGTAGGTAGTGTCCAGCCCGCGCTTTGTCGACAAGCGATTCATCGGATGCACCAACAGGCAGCGGGATTGCCAGGGTGGGTTATGTAAGCTCATGATGTTTGAATCAACGACGTCGAGAGCCCCGCACTGCGTATTTCCGTGCTCTGCGTATTGGAGAATTGGGGTCTGTATGTTGTGATGACTTTTTTTCTCATCTTCTTTTTTTCTTTCGTATAACCCTGCTACTGATACGACGCTATTTCTAGAAATGTGGATGGCTTTTTTTTTTCTCTCCCTTTTGGTGGTGGCTAACAAGCAAGCACGAGCTGCCTTAGTGCGCGGGGTCTAGCAGCAAAGTCCCGTGCAGCTCGACGGGCCCAAAAAAGTCGATGTGGCCGATCCAACACCAGCAGCAGCAGCAGCAGCGGCAGCATCATCACCCAAACAAATCGCCGCAGCAATTGGCAGCCAGGCGCCACGCATGCAATCCCCCCGCAGCGGACACAAACCACCCACCATGGAGAAAAGGTCTCGGATGATGATGGACAGCCCTACCTTAAACCCGCACCGTCTGGTGACTTGTGCGTGCGGGTGTCTCACTCTGTTGGCTAATTTAGGTCCGTCTTGGGAACCACCAATGTCTGTTTCTATTTTCCGTCTGGCCTCCTTTTTACACACTCTCATCCACAACCCACAAGATACCAACTGCATACATCCCCAAAGCCGGGACGCGACTTGGCGCACGGGAAGGAGTGCAGTGGCTTGACCTGGCCCTAGGGCCTTTTTTTTTTTTTTCGTTTTTGGCTGCAGATCCATTTCTCTCACCCACCCACCCCCTCAGCCTCATCGGGAGTGCAACCCTCTCTTCTGGCAGCTTGGCGAGCCAGCCAATCAGCGGCCGGGTCCCATGGAGGGTGAGCAAGCAGCAAAAGCAAAGTGTGTGGGTGGCATGGCGTTTCAAGTTCTGCAGCAATGCAGAATGGTGCGTGGTGGTGTGCTCGTGCCGCTCAGCTTCGGTCCTGGGTTATTTTATCGCCTGTGTTGGGTGTGGGTGACTTTAAATGTTTTGATGTTTTTTTTTGGTTTGCTGACAGGCGCGCCTACCAGCGTTTGTTTTTGTTTGTTTTGCGGCGCTTCTGTTATTTTAAACCATTGTGGATTTTCGGCTGGTTCTCTCGCCATGGCATCGCGCTAAATTAGCCTTGTGCCATCATCGGACACGCAACGCACACACACACGCACACCCCCCAAGGCAAGGCAAGGTAAGGCAAGGCGAGGCGGCGCCCTGAAGCGTCACCAACGCTGCCCGCTTGGTCACCTTCAGCCACTTTTACCATCCCGCAACCAGCCCCTCCCTAACCACCTAGGCAGCCGCAGCCCAAAAAGCCACTTGCGCGCGAGCGCGGGAAGCCTTGCCGGGTATGGGGGCGCGCTATAACGGTGCGGGAAACCATGCGGACGTCTCGAGCTTGTGCGCTCCAGCGGACCGGCTGCCTGTAGCTTTCCAAGCCAGCGCAAAACATGGAGACTGTTGCAGAATTGCCCATGATTTGAAAAGGAAATCTGGTGGGTGTTTATCATTTAAAGTTGGAAAGCGGCAACGGCTTGGTGATGTGGCTCCCATGATGCCGCCGCCGCCAAAGAGCTACAAGTCGAAGCGCGGCGGTATGAGCTAGTCTGCCGCTGCTACTGGTTGCCTTTTTTTGGCGACAGCTGCAAAACACATGGCGGTGGTCCTTGCTGCGGAACAAGGCGTTGCAGAGCGTCGGGGGGTCACAGGCCTGCTGTTTCTGGCCACGCGCCGATCGGGTATCAAGCAGCTGATTTTCCCTCCCATCCACCCCCGTATTAGTCTGAAAGGCGGTGCCTGGTATAGGTACAGGTATAGGTATAGATAGTATAGTATATACTGGGCTGCGATGCCGCTGCGGACACTGCACCCCATGCGGACGCGGCAAATAGAGTGCACGTATGTCGTGTACATCCACTTGCATATGACGGCCGGCCTCCCTACGGCCCCCTTTTTGGTGAGATGCCAGAGTCCGACGGGGCTTGGCTGAGGGTTAGGCCAGCCACCGGGCGAGGCCACGACAGGCTGTTCCGGCCCCTAGTAAGCACCTTGTCTTGACCATATCGTCAGACAAGAGTGAGAGAGAGAGAGAGAGAGAGAGAGAGAGAGAGAGAGAGAGAAGAAAAAAGATTCCATTTTTGGCTCTTCTGGCCAACGCATCTGTTGCACCAGCCCAACGCCGACCGTCAGCCCCGGGCGGGGCGTGCCGCTGGTGGCTACGGACCTCCAGAGGTTGCGTTATCTGTCCACTTACAGTCGACCCTCGTCCCTGAGACAGGTAGCTACCTAACCTACCTACCTGCTTGCCCCGTTTCTGGACCGAGACCTCGTCGGGCTGGCGGACTTGTGCCCGTCACCGCTACATCGCCTCTACGCCCGCGTCCCCCTGCCGCGCCCCCGGCGCGAAAGCGCTGTGCAAAGCGCCCGGCGGTATGTGCAGGTGTGGAGCCCGCAAGCTTTTGTCTCATGGACGCCGGTCTACGGTGACGCTGGGGTTGGTCGCGAGTAGCTCTGAGTGGTTTCTATTTTTGTTGCTCCTTTGCTGATCATGGGGATGCTCGGTATCTCAAGAAGGATAGGCCATGAACAGGGTAGCCCGAACCATCCCCTCAGCCACGATATAGGTAGGCTCGCTCCTACACAGCAGCCTACCCGGTGGGGGTTAGGCACCGGGTGCTGGCCTCACAGCACACGGTGGCCCCTACCCAAAGATGCCATAGCCACTGGGCTGGGCATGTAGGCTCTGACTATGACAGCGAAGGAGATGTGCGCTGTTCAACACGTTTCACCTTATTTTAGCAGACCGGGCAGGGAGCGACCGAGTGAGCACATTGCCTTCGCCACTGAAAAAGGCCATCCCCTACCACACGTGGCAGCGGTGGCAGGACAAAGGTGTAGGTGACGGCATCAGCAGGGTCCAAAGCCCGGTTCTGACACCATCCTCGAGACTCCAGACCAGACACCTCGCCAAGCGGGTCGCACAGCATGGAGCCCGCCACGCTCCCCCATCATCGGATAAGAAGAGGGGGGAAGAAAGCAGGGAATAGGGGCTAATCAGCAGCGTGTGGAACCCGCACGATCCTTCCCGCCCAGTCTTGGGACAGCGGACTGGCTCGCTGCCCCCCCCTCCTCGAGTACAGGCAAGGACTCTGACAGGAAAGCTGTGCCGCCCATGGGGAGCGCACGCCCGCAGCCACGCCACCAGGGCCTGCGGTTCTGACAAATAATGTCGCATTGGAAACGGCGGCTGCGCGCGTGTCAGGGCATCGCAGCCCCTCCCGGCCTCGGATTGCTCATGCCTGTCTTTACCCACGAGGTAGCAGGCGGGGATCCCTCAGCCCGACATCGTACTGCCAGTCCAAGACGGCCATCTGTTGCTCCTAGGGCATGGCCTTGACCGCCCGGTGGCTGCGGCGAAGCTGCTGAGGAGCTTACAACGATAAGACGGCATGAAGGTCTCAAGGAATCCCGCAGGGCCGGCCCGTGTGGGAAGGCCTTGGCCAGTCTGGGAAACCAGAAAGACACCGCCACCGAGAAGAGGTGTAAAGGGAAGGCCTAGCCGTCGGCTAATGCCCCTTGGTGGTGTTGCTCATGTTACATTGGATCATCATGCTGTTCCGCTCACCGTTTCTAACAGCCGATAGAAACGGAGCCCGGCCCGGCACATGCTTTAGGTCTTTCTGTCTCTTTCGACATGGACACGGACGGTCTTGATCCCGAGTAACCAGCTATTAGCCGCACACCCCCACACACGCGATTCTCAAAGAGGGAGAGCCCCGTCCCTAAAATCCGGCGAGGCCGCTTCCGGAAAGAAGGGCTCCGCGGTGGCAACTGGACAGGCATGCGTGACTGCCGAGTGGCGGCTATCGGCGCGGCTTGCCAATGGCCATCGAGCAACTGGCGCCCATGTTGCATTGGCACGCCGAGAGCTTGCATGCTGGAGGGAGCATGAGGTGTGTAGGATGGGATGGCAGCATCGCAGCTTTGAGGCAATACTGCCTGTCACGGGCACTTCTTTGAAAGCAACGGCAGCAGACCAGCTCGGCACACACCCTCGGGCGTTTGGAAAGCCACGGCCGGCTTTTGGTTAGTGTTGGTGCTTTACGGCGTCATGTCCGGTCTATGACCTGCCGTTGGCAGCGGACTCTATTCCCATTCGTTGACGTACCGCGAACAGCCTGCTGTTTTTCTCTCGCGCAGGACAGCAAGGATCACCCACTTTGCCAACATCCTGCAAGTCTGACCGCTTCTGAGAGCCCAGCCTGACCTTGCCCCCGGACCTGGCAGATGGCCCAAACCCTGCCGTCGACAACGGACGTCGGGTCAATGCCTGTTGCAGCAGATCTGCAAAAGCCATGGCAGGAATCAAGTTCCCCGTACACACGCCCCGGGACTGGCAAGGCGGGCAGGGGGTGGGAATTTCCCAATGGCGGCCCGTCTCGTCGAGACGGCTGCAGATGCGCTATCGAACGCGTTGGTCATCCCTCGGGTGCGTTGGTGTCTCCCAGTGTGAACATTGGCACTGAGAGGATGCGGGGGACTTGTGCCCGCGCTCTCGACTGGGCGAGGCGTCTGCGGTGCGCGCTTACGCAACCTCCAATAGGGCGTCTGCGGTGCGTGAAGGGGCAACGCCGTGCCGGCATGGCAGTGTCTCGGAAGACTGGGAGGCTGCCCCGAAATGAGAGCAGAGAGCAAGACTGCCGGCCCCAACACCCCCGAGCTCAGCCCTCGGCATCAATATCTCATCCTTCGCCTTGGAGGTCTGGGTGCGGCTCCTCCCTTGGGTCTGGTGAGAGGCAGGCCCCATCCCTCGGCCTTTCGGATATTGTTGCCTTGGCTAACCATGGGTTTCTGTGCTAGTGAGTGCCACCGCCCTGCGCGCTTAAGGTGCGGCAAAGAAGCGACGGCAGGCAAGTCGGATGATGGTGGCCCTGGTCCAAGTCCGAGATGGGGAGGGAGCTATGACATGCAGAGTGATGGGAGGGTAGGCCTAGCAGTGAGAGCGACGACGGTGGTGTTGGGTCGATGGAAGGGGGTGTGCATTATGCTACTGCATATTGGAAGTGACTCTGGCGGCGAGCCTGCCGTGACAGCCAGAGGGAGTCGTCCTGGCCAAGAGTCGTCAGGTCTTTTTTCTGTGCAGCAGGACGCTGGGTCGTGGTCTTGGTGTGGAATATTGCCCCATGGCTGACTGGGGTCACTTCCAGACTGTGGAGACGGAACATGCAGCAGGGGCGGAACCTGGAAGGAGGGCCTTGGAGATGCAACCTCCCCTCGTGGGTGTTGGGTTTTCATCGCGAGGCATTTGCAGATGCCTTCTTTCTGGTGCGAATCCAGGTCGGTTGGCATCAACGATTGACAAGGAGGGGGTCGTAGGGGGTCGTAGGGGGTCGTTGAGGTGGCACCAGGACTGTTGGCCAATCAGGTTTAGGGACTGTGTGGGCCGCCATTCCCTTTCTCACCAAACTGGTAGGGGTGGGAGCGGCAGGTGCGCCTGATCGGGTGTGGACTGGAATTAAGCGCGCGTATCCACCGCTAGCCAAGCTCGATTGGCCCGGCTTGGACCTCAGAAAGTGAACATTTGGTAACCACAACCACGGGCAAGGACCACGGGCAAGGACCACGGGCAAGCAACGCGGAATCGAGAAGCCGCGAGAGACTCCACCCACACACCGTCTGCTGCCCTCGATGCTCAACCCTCGACGACGCGACAAGACGACGCCAGCGCACCCACCCTTTCCACTCCTGCACCACAGCACCGGACAGGTCGCGCGTCTGCTTCCCCAACTTGGCTAGGCTGCTTTGACCACGGGCAAATCACGGGCCTGGGAATCCTCGAGCACCTCTCTCTAAGCGCCCAGGGCTGCAGGTGGCCGCATCCAACCTTGCCCAGTCTGCCCTCTGGCTCGTCGAGAAGCCTTCGGGAGCCGTCTGTGCCTCCCGGTCATCCCTGCCGAACCCAGCAGCTGGTTCTGGTCTCGGTATTGCCCGAGGAGCCTTACTGTGACTGCTCCTCCTGCCCCTGCTGCTGCTGCTGCTGCTACTCCTGTTCGGTTCTTGTGACGGGAGCCTTGCCTGTCCTGACGAGACATATCGGTACCCCACGCCCCTCCTCCTGGGCATCAAGATAAGCCATCTCGGATAGGTTCGCAGGCAGAACACGCCTCTTGGCCTGGCCTCCTCATGCAGACATGACCGCCGCCGTCGCGTCCAGCTTCAAGGCCCGCAGGCGCCAGGTGTGGACCTCTGTCTTCCCAGAAGTCTCGCAGCCCACGCCCCAGGCACCCACCGCTGCCGTCTTCCCTGACCAGAACCAGCGGTCTGGGGCGTTTCAGCCATCGCCAGCTTCGGGTTCGTCCCTGCAACCGCCGCGGCCCACCAACGCCGCTGATGTGCAGCAGCGCCGCTCGCCGGCCACCAGGAGCGGCGGTAGCAGCAGCCTCAAAAGCCCCCCAGGCCAACACGGCGTCCTATCACCGCCTCCCGTGGGCCTGGGCCTAGGTCTGGGGCTCGCGGGCCTGGGGTCGCCAGACCGCCACCAGCAGTCCATCCCAAGGCCCGTGCCAGACCCTCTCCACCACCAGCACATGGTCAGCCAACCCCGTAGCGCGGCCGACGACCAGATCGCGTTCGATCGGGCGTGGCACGTAGTGACATCGCGAGTCGCGCTTCCCTCAGCTGCATCCGCCGAGGACTCTTTCGGTACGCTGCCCTCCATGTCACGACTCGAGTCCCAGGACGCCACGTCCGAGTTCGAGTTTCAAGAGGCGCTCCGGACCGTGCTAGAGGCAAAGACGCTGCTGCCACGGGCCTCCCACACGGAGGATGTGTTGGCGTGGCACACGCAGCAGGTCCGCCAGCATTTTGCCCAGCACGTGATGCCCCTGCTGTCGGCCTGCGCCGCCGGCCCCGCCTTGGCATCCTCCGGTCTTGCCACGGCTGCCGGAGCCAGGCGGACAGCCGGGGCCGGCCCCACCGCCGCCAGCATCTTCGAGCAGCACCTGGTAGCCGTCATGAATAGTATCCGGACGCTAGACGGTGCGTTCAGGCAGTATGACTATGGCCTTTCCCTCATCCTCCGTGGTTACCATCAGAAGGGCGTGCGCCAGGCAGAGGAGGACGACACCATGGACGTGGAAATGCAGGACCCGCCCGCAACGTCTGTCGAGTCGCTTGCCAAGAGCTTCAGAAAGGACGTCCGCTCGCTGGTAGGGAACTCGGCGCCCCCGGAGCTTATGCTGTCGGTCCGTGCAGTTCTCGTTGCCCTCGTCAGCCGGATCCTGGGATTCCCTGGGCTGCAGGCTGCAGCTGGCGATGCGAAAGCATCGAAGCCGTCGGGCTCTGGACCCGGCAGGCCGGGAAAGCCCCCTGCGACACCCCTCTCAGCTGCCGGCACCGTCCGCCCAGCTCCTCCCAGCGACGAGGATGCCCGGGTCATCGCGGCGAGACAGCGGCTGCATGAGCTTGTCGGGGCCCTCGCCGACGTTGGCCTGGCTGGCGAGCGGACGCAGGTTCTCTTCGCCGAGATAATGGACAAGCTGATGTCTGACTTTGTCCACGGGGCGTACGCTGGCACGTGGGAATCCGAGGACCAAACAGCAGTGGCCGATCCCACCAGGACGCCCTTGACGGCAAGGCGCGCCGGGCTTCGATCAGCAGCATCCAAGCTGGCAAACAAGCAGCAGTCTTGCAGCTCGACCCTATGCCAGTGGGTTGAGAACCATTTTTCACGCCTTGCTTTTGAGGTTCTGCGCCTGATTTCGGTTGACGACGAGGCGGGCACTCGAGCCGTGTCATTCACCGATGTCACCAAGTGGAAGGACATTGCCCTCGGCCGCCTGGCTACCCTGCGCGTGTCGGAGCTGTTCGATATTGTGTTACACTGGCCAAAGAGCAAAAGCGGGCTGGAAGACCTGCGAGCGAGCGTGGCTACGCCTCAGCGGCGACTGCAGCTCACAGACGCCTTCTCGGCGGCTCTTCAGGCACGCCTGCTGCACTCTTCCCGCTCCACGGTAGAGATACTACAAGTTTACATCGCCATGATTCGAACGTTTCACGCGCTGGACCATTCCAAGGTCCTGCTCAGCCGGGTGGTCCCGTCCCTCCAGCTGTATCTCTGCCAGCGCGAAGATGCGATACGCCTCGTGGTCACAGGCCTCCTGGCGAACCCCGACGAGGTGGAGCAGAATGAGGCGGGGGCCAAGCCCTCTGAGGATGCCATGTTCCCCAAGGACACAAACGTTATTGCCGGGCCAAGGGGCAAGAAGTGCCTCACCGAGCTAGCGGTGCTACTAAACGACCCCGCGCAGCAGCGGCGGCAGGCGACCGAGGACGATGACGTGGACTGGAACGACATGGACTGGCTGCCAGACCCGGTGGACGCGGGAGCCAACTACAAGCGGCCCAAGTCGGAGGACGTCATCGGGACGCTCATCAGCGCTCTGGGCGCCGAGGACGTCTTCATCAAGGAGTTCCAGAACACCATCGCCGAGCGGCTGCTCTCGTCACAGAGTCGGTTCGACCAGGAGATCAAGGTGCTTCAGTTGCTCAAGAAGCGGTTCGGCGAGGCGGCACTACAGAGCTGCGATGTCATGATCCGCGACGTCAGGGAGTCGGGCCGCCTCGACCCCTACATCCGACGTGCACAGTTTGTAGCCCAGTTCAGGACGCCGCGGGGAGGTGAAGACGAGACGGAGGAGCGAGACACAAAGTACACGGCCAAGATCCTCTCGCGTCTCTTCTGGCCCGACATGGAGCCAGACGCATTTGTGCTCCCGCCGCCCGTGGCGGACAAGCAGAAGGAGTACGAGGAAGGATACGAGCGGGCAAAGTCGTCGCGGCGCCTCACGTGGCTCAACAACTACGGGCAGGCTACGGTCGAGCTGGAGTTTGGCGACCGCACCGTGTCGGTCCAGTGCAAGACGTACGAGGCCGCCGTCATCTACGCGTTCCAGGACGAGGATGGGGAGGAGGAAGGGGGCAGTGTCCGGAAGTCGTTTGACGAAATCTGGCCCCAGCTCCAGATGGACGAGGACCTTTTACGGGAGGCGCTCGAGTTCTGGACCGTACAGGGGGTTCTTCGCCGGGTCGGCGGGGACACGTACACGGTGGTGGAGTCGTTGCAGGTCGAGCAGGAGACGGGCGCCGACGACGACGACGACGACGACGACAACAACAACGCGGACGAGCCCGAGGCGCAGGCCGGAGGCGGCAGGTCAGGCGCCGGTGGGGCCGGCAGCAGCGCCGTGTCCAAGCAGCGGCAACAGCAGGAGACGGTGCATTGGCAGTACATCGTGGGCATGCTGACCAACTCGGCGGCGTCGATGCCGACGACCCAGATCGCCATGATGATGCGCATGATGATGCCCGGCGGTCTCCCTTGGAGCAACGAGGAGCTGCAAGATTTTCTGGGCGCCAAGGTTGCGGCTGGCGATCTCGAGGTCGTCGGGGGCAAGTACCGGCTCGTCAAGAAGTAAGCCCGTCCATAACGACCACATGATATGGCGGAGGCTTGATATTCAGATACCCATCCATTTTCCAACACATTCCTTCAGTTCAGCATTGTTCCCCGTGGCGTTTGCGTCCCACCCAGCAGCAGCATCACATGAACACCTGTTCCACATCCTCATCGCCCCGATAGCACGGTCTCGGTCTGTTCTGTTCTAGGGACGCCACCAAGCAGCCCCGCGCGCGCCCGAGCACCGCTGATGGGCCAAGGTTGGGACGGGCTGCAGGCCAGCAGGCAAGCAAACGGCAAAAGCAAGGGAGATGACAGGCTGTGCTGGAAGGTCGTGGAAACGTGGCGGCGGCGGCAGGCAAATGGCAAATGGCAAATGGCAAAGCGACGCAGAGCCCTGTCATTAGGAGGAGAGGAGAGAGGGGTTACATACTACGAGACGAGAGAGGGCCCGGGCCCTTGCGAGGCTGGGGTTCGGGTTCGTGCGGAACGCCGGGCCTGGGGGTTTTTTTTTGTTTCCCCGCCGCTTAGTAGTTTGTCTCAACAAACCCAAGTGATGTGGCGGTGAGGAGTCACGCGATTTTTTTGGGGGGACACTTGTGAGTGACGTCGTCGAGACGGGGTGGAAGACTGAGAGAGAAGAAAATTAATAAAGAAAAGAAAAGAAAAAAGAAAATGAGACTTCAAGGCGAAGCGGACTAGTGAGCGAGTGGCTGGTTGTTAGCTCCCTCTGGCCAACATGTGAAGGGGACGCAGCATTTCTGTCTTGCTTTCGCCCGCTGCTGCAAATCACGGCTTCCGACGCCTGCTTCTTTTATTTCCCTATCTTTCTGGCATGGGTGCGGACCCGGAGGAAGGGGGGTTGGACGAATGAAGCGGAGGGGGAGGTGGGAGGGTACCCTGCGGTGTCGCCCCCGGTTCGGCGGCGGACGGGGGAGCGATTGGACGGCCGGTGGACGGGATCAGAGCCATGTGGCAGGCAAAAAGAGCAGAGGCAGGGTAAGAAAAAAAGAAATAAAAAAGTAAAGAAATAAAAACTGGACTGGGGACAGGTCCTTTTAGCGGCAGGCAAAAAAAAAAAAAAGAACATGAGGCCGGCTGCTTCGCTCGCGCGCGCGCCCCTCGGGTCTCATGTGGGAGAGGAGGGAGGGGAGGGGGGCGCTGCCGTGCGTGTGGGTGGGTGGGCGGGCGGTGGGTACGATATATACCTGTACATAACTCGGCCATGCCCTTGCGACAGCTCCCATGTCGGAGCGAAAAGCCAAGGCGGTGCGCGTGACAGCCCTTTTTGAGACTTGTCCGCTAGTTAGTATCTTCCCTCTATGGGGCTGGGCGATCTTTTCGAATCAATCAGACAGAGCCAAGGCAGACACAAGATTTACCGCGGGTCCTTTGCTAGAACGGCATGTGCACCACACGCAGGGCAAGATAAGATAAGGAGAGATAGGCAAATAGATATGCGGGGCAGATAGCATGTTGCATGCTATACCTACTGGGGTACTTTACGCGGCCGGCAGGGGAGTTCCCTGAAGCACAAGCGGGATCGAGGCGCCGGAGTTGTCGGATGCAGAGCTGACGACGAGCTGATGGTAAAACAAGACCACCCAAGCGCCGGGGGGCTGGGCTAGGCTAGCCTCTCGTATCGGCAGGTGTGAGGGGTCAGATCACGTTTATTTTTTTTTATGCTGCTTTCTGTCTCTCTTTTTCCTTTACCCGTGTCTTTGGAGGGCTCACTCCGACCCCCATGTCGGAGTTGCAAAGGTGATCGAAAGCACAGAAGACAAGAAGACAGAAAAAAAAAAAAAGGTGGAGGAGCCCACCCCAGAGTCAGAGAGGGGCTGTTGCTGCTGGCCTGGAACGGGGCGGCAGGGATGTCGATTTGGTTTTTGTTTTTTAAGTGGTTGCATCACCGGATCCCAAGCCATGCCATGCCATGCTGCCCTCCCTTTTCGTCGTCGGCCCAGCCACGGCGGCCACGTTTCTCGCCCGGAATGGGTGAACGGACGGACGCCCGTCCGCCGCGGGGGTTGCCTGCCTGCTTGCTTGCCTGCCTGCCTGCCTGCCTGCCGACGCCGTGTCGCGGGCGAGACGTGGAGGAGAAGAAAAAGGAGGGGGCGGGCTTCCCTCATTCGACCAAGGCGAGAGAGAAGTATGCGGCTTTCGCAACAACCCACGACGCCAAGAGTATGGGCAAAGCTGAGATGAGCTGGTCAGGCTTTTCCTTCTTCTTCTTCTTCCCATGACTTCTTTTTTTTTTTTTCGATCTTCTCTTATGTTTCCGCTTCTTGGTTGCCCGCATCCTGGAGCTGCTGCTTGCATGCAGTGGCTTGCATCTTTTATTTCTTTTGGGCCCCATCCCAATCTTTTTTATTGGTGATGCACCGAAGCGAGTGAGCAT